AGGAACATCAAGCCTGGTCAGTACCTGAATGGTGACTGCTTTGAATACAGATACTGAGTCTCTGGATGTATAGTTGATTTATATTTGGATGGCGGCAATTAAGTTCCATTGATTTAAGGTTTGTTGTATTTCACTAGCCATGCCAAATTCAGCAGGAAATAGTATGAATCCACCTCTTCTCCCTCCAGTTATGGGTTAATCAGTAGGATCTGTATCTGCAAATAATTATTATCCCCCATCCCAAAAGGATTCTTACAATCTAAAAATATTTCTGGATTTAAATAGCCTACAAAAGGTTGATAGGCTGTAAAAAAAGAAAACAAAGAAAAGGTCAATCAACTCATTGGAGAGTTTGTACATGCATGCATGTACTGTAAGTTGTTGCTAAATTACATCAAAGCTGTAGAAGTGGTTCTTAAGTTTGAGATATGCAAAATGTCATCATGTATTTCTGACTGTGTCTGTGTAATATTTCATGTAATCCAAATGTTTTCTATTCTGCCACAATATATGTATGTAATTTGTATGTATAGTTATTTCCATTCATTTTATCTCTTCTCTATTCTTTAACTATTTCTTTGCAGATATTTCAAGATGGTGAAAATGTGCTGCAAATTTTTGGTAATGAAATCAACCTTTGCCTGTTGCCATATTGATTTTGCTGTGACTCCCAGTTAAAGAACCTCCACCTGAAAAACACCTTACTTCCCCTCCAAAGAGTATGCACTTAGACTTTCTTAAAGAGAGTGTCCAACCCCCCACTGGTGTGCTTTCTATCCCCCCTGATCCTTGCCAGTTACACTCTCTTCTCTTATTTTACCTTTTACACTCTGTATCCCAAGCATGGAGAACTGGGTGCCTAACCCTAATGCTCGGCCATTTATACCACGCCGTCGGATGGCCCGTAATACCACTGGGCACTATGTGCGGACGTATTCAAGAAAGAAAATACTTGCAAAAATATTCCAGGTAAATATTTGCCAAGTGGAGACACTCCACACCCATAGTAGATGAGTCTAGAAAAAGTTTTATTTTTGAGCTGATGTAATAGGTTCCACTTGCTATATTTCATATGTATCTCTTTATTATATTTGGGTCTTTAGAAGGTAGTTTAACAGATGCTAGACATTTGTAATATATACAAGACAGCTTGAATTGTACATTCACTTAAGATATTTTTGTTGAAGCAGCAAAGTTTTATTAGTCTGTATAATAGGTGTGTATGATTTGTATTATGTCGTCTTAAGTGCCAGGCCATTAATATTTCTTATAATATTTATCCTACCTTGTAATACTATTATTGTTCTTTTTGCCTGATTAAATCCAAGAGAAAAACAGGGACATGATAGATACAAGCAGTGATCTCTGAGTAGTCATTTTTTTCCCTAAGAGTTGAATGAGGCCTGCAAATGTAGATATAACAACAGCAAAGATAAGGATAACAGTCCAAATGAGTTGTTATTACAGTAATTCTGAAAATGTTTTAGTTCATGATTTCAAATAAAAAAAAAAATATGAAAGAATGACACACACACACACACACACACACACACATATATATATATATATATATAAGTTGTTTTTAAGGAACCTGGTATTTCTTTTTCATTTTTTGCACATGTACATTATACTTTCATTGTATCTTACTCAGATTCTTTTAAATGATTGGCTGCATCAACTAATTTTTATGGCTTATGCTCATATCATGTTGAAACACCAGTTCCCATATGATCACTGAAGTTAAGCAATGTTGCACATAGTCAGTATCTAGATGGATGGCTGTGTGGGGATAGCAGGTGCTATAAGCTTGGATGTGTGGGTGGTATAATGGATAATGGCTCAGAATTGTTAATCAGAGAGCCAAGCTCCATTTTCAGTTGTTTGTTATATTCACTTACATGCAAATGCCCTTTTGAAAGGTATGAATCCACATATTCTCCCCCAGATATGGGTTAATTAGTAAGACTTGTATCAATAAATCATTATCTCCCCACCCACCCCTAAAAATTGCAATGTAAAAATATTCTTTGGCTTTAAATAACCTGCAAAGGGTTGATAATCTGTAGAAAACAAATCAATCCACAATAAACTAATATTCAGAGCATTTTATATTGAAACTATCACTCAAAGTGGCTTATTTATTAAATATCTGTTTGCAGTAGTTATATGTTTGAATTCACTAAAGTTTCCATGAATTTCCTAGCATTAAAATAATTTATTTTAGGATAGTGTCTGGTATAGAGTTCTTTACTATTTAAATAAAACATTTGACAAAAAAAATTACAAAGGTAATTTAACATAAGTTTGATATGAACTGCACAGTAATATATGCACAGAGGGAGTTAATATAAATAATAGAGATGGTGCCTGTGTAAAGAAAGTGGGGTGGAGTTTTACTTGAAATGTGGAAAAGAATAAAAAGATGGCAGCCAGTGTATACCAGGTTTCTTTTCATTGGGGCAAATTTAAATATGTGGCTATGGAAATATTTGTGAAGGTTTGATATTTCATAAATTGTGTACTGTCATCAGAGGCTATATCATAAAAGGAGTTCATTCTAGTAAGAATATTTCTTTTCATTGGTCCTTAATCAAACCAGCTACAAGGTGAAGACCTACCTAAATGATAACATAAAATAACATTCTTTTAATGGGATGGTTGGAAAGGAAGAATGACTATTTTGATTATCTCCATTCTCTAGTTGCCTGTAATAAGCAATATACTAGGTGTTTAATATGACTGAAGGATGTGCCAGAACAGTTGAAAGAAATAAATGCTAAATATGCATTGTACTCAAAAAGATTTTATACAGAGATGTAATACAAGAATGAAATTAGTATTTCCCAGAGAGGAAAAAAGCCAGGTTGGGTGATATCTTTACTTGGAACATGTTTCTATTTGTTCTCTTTATTGTCATGGACTATCACCTATAACTTCCTCGAAGTCTACATAGCAATTTGTATTTACTCGGGATTGATGTCACTCACTGTCCATCATGTGACCCTTGTGAATTTGTTCTACCAAAAGGGAGATAATTGTCTTCTGCATCCTTGCACTCTCTTATGTGGTAATCTCTTTCTCTCAAAAAAAAAAAAAAATTGCCATTCTTCTTTTTATATTTATCAGTTTAGCTTTTAAATTTATTGTTGGGACAAAGGTGTTTAATTATGCAAGTTTTCTTTCTGGAGATCAAGAACTGTGTCAGTGTAATTATTGCAACACTTGCATGACTAAATAAATTCTATAATTGCTAAGCGTGCATATTTGTTCTGTGTGTTCAACATTGTTTCTCTCTCTCTATATCTCTAATAACTTCCTATTGTAAGGTTATTTTATAACACATACTCATACTTGGTATAACATAATTCATTAAGTATTCTCTATACATAATACTTATGCTACTGCCATAACGTGTGTACTCTTTACTCTACAACATCCCCCCAACAACCTTTGAGATTACTATTTTATTAAATAAAAATATATTTATTTTGTATTAGTATCTCCCCTTCCTCTTTGTACTGTTTCCATCTCAGATCCACTTCCAGTTTTTCGGTATGTTTTCTTTTCCTTGAACTTGTCTTTGTTGGTTCCACAATTTCTTTTGTTACTTTTGCATCAAAAATCTCGTACAGTATTTTAACTGGTTCTTGAGGTCTTTCATCAGTTTTCTTCAGCTGATTTTGGTGCCTTTTATGTTGGAATTTTTTCCTTTCACCATGCCAACCAATTTTGTGATTCTAGCTTCTATTATGCCATCTTCCCATGTTTCCTTTCTATCCTTGTATGTTCTAAAGAATACTTTATCACTGAACTTGAAAGTATTGGTATTACTTTTATTAACCATTTGTGATTTCTGACTTGGCAGTAACTTATCAAATACCTATTTTACCCTTCTGGCAAACATTAATTCCGTCGTTGACATGCCTGATGGTGTGTTGGTGTTAGGTATTAACCGGTACACTCTCAAAAAGTTTTGAAGTACCACCTCATTTAATTTGTCCAGACTTGCTTTTTTCAACACTCTTTTGAATGTTCCCACAAACCATTCTGCTTGTCCATTAGACCTTGTGTGATATGGTGGGGCTCGTAATATGTTCTATAGAGAATATATTGCAAAAATCTTGAAATTCTTTTTTTTGTGAATTGCGTTCCATTACCTGATAATATGTCATCTGATATGCCATATCTCACAAACAGTTCATGTAAGAAATTCACTGTCACTGTGGATGTAGGATTTTTGCACTGGTAAATTTCTGGCCATTTTGTAAAACTGTTGACTATCACTAGATAATATGCTCCATCCATAGGACCTGCAAAATCTATATGTAATTTTGACCATGGACTGTCTGTCTTTGGACAAGGTTCTATCTTTATGATAGGTAGTTTTGCTGCTAGAGCACAACCTCTACATGTTTTTACTGTTTTTTGAGATATCTTGATCCATTCCAGTCTAATATACAAAACTTCTCATGAGAGATTTCATTCTTGAAATGCCAGAATGAAAACCCTTGAATACATGTTTCTGTAACACAGTTTTACAATTCTTTGTTTGTATATTGCAACCCCATCACATATCAAGTACGCATTTAATTCTCAATTCTGTTCTTTCTTAGTTTCTTTTAATTCTTTATTTTAGCATGAAAGACATCCTTTTCTGATTTTTCTTTAATTTCATCCAGTGTTGTTGGTAATTCCCATACTACGTTGCACAAAATGTTTTTAATTTCCATCACACTTTTTAGCGCTGATATGACTGTGTCCTCCAATGGTTCTGCATTTTTAGGTATTAACCTAGATAATCCATCCACATATCCTAATTTTTTAGATGGTACTCCATTGTAAAATTATAATTTAACAGGACGGTACCCCAGAGCTCTAATCTGTTAACTGTATGGCTAGGTATATCTTTCTTTGAACCATATATTGCTGATAACGGTTTATGGTCTGTTTGCAAAAATTTTCCATGCAAAAATTTTTTCTTGGTTTAGTTCTACAGTGTGATTTGATATGTCCTTTTTTACCACAGTTATAGCCTTCTGCATTTTTCCATGGACAGTCTTTCCCAAGATGTAATCTTTTACATCTGAAACAATGTTTTATATTCCTTTTAGTGCATTTTTCCTTCGCTTTTACTAATGCACACTTTATTCTGAAGTTTTTCCGCATTATACTTCAGACTTAGCATTGTTTGGCAATCGTCTGCTATTTCCTGTAGTGTTACATTATTATGTTCAATCTATAATAAAATTTTTGTTTGTACTTCAGCATCTTTTTATGCTGTTAGATCTTTCACAAAAAACAATGCTTTGAACATATCCAGTCATTCCCTTTAGTTTAAATTGTTCACATTCTCTGTTGATGGTACCAACATACGTGACTAAATTTTCATCCTCTTTTTTGGTTAAATACATGCACGTCCAATGAGCACGGAACAGAGTGCACTTGTCACTAAAAATTTTTATCAGAATATTTACTGTGTTTTCAAACTCTATTTTACCTGTTTTTCTTGGTAAAATATAATTGCCTTACTTTTTGTACTCTATTGGCAGTATTTTTTTAAAGAACAGCTTGTTTTTTTTTTATCTTCTTTCCAGCCACTGCATTCCTGACTAAATATTTCTTCATGTCTGTGAAAATACACAGCAAAAGTCAGTCTGTCATCAGGATTGTATACTAATTCTGACATATTGTTTTGCATTGCATCTGGCATAAGAGATATTGAAGCATTTTTCTTCAAAACCACTTCCAACTACTTTTGTTGTTGTTTTTGCAAATGTTGGGTATTTTTGTTGTTGCTTCTGTTGTTGAATTTCATCTATTGAAGCTATATTTTCTCCATATCTGCAAGAAAAAGATTTTTCTTTTAAACCAACATGATTGAAATTCTTGTAAATCCTGTTGCACACATATGAGTTTTGAAAATTTGGTCACTTACTATTTTAACTCCAGTTACAATGTTGCGATTTTATCCCACACTGGTGTTTGAATATCATTGTCACAAACTATTATAACTTCAGTTATAATGTTTTGAATTTATCCCATGCTTGTGTTAAAGTTCCTCGTTGTCAACTATTATAACTTTATTGTTATAACAGACACTCATACTTGGTATAACGTAATTTGTTAAGTATTCTCTATATACAATGCATAGGCTACTGCCATAGTGCCTGTACAGTTAGTATGAAGACTGACTCCAATATGACTACTATTAACCTCATACCATGGAACTCTTTATAGTATTGGATGAGTTCATAAAGTCACCGGGGGTGTACTCTTTACTCCACAACAATATCTATATCTCTATCTCTCTCTCAATATATATATATATATATATATATATATATATATATATAAAAAACCCTTTACTATCTTTGAAAATTATTTGCAGTTCCTGTTATGACATTTATCATTTTTGCTTTTAAATTTATTCTTGTGTCAGAGGTATTTATCATATGGAAGAGTATTTTTTTTCTTGATATGGATAACTGCTTCTGTGTAATTATTGCAATAGTTATGTGAATATATAAAATCTATAATTGCTAATAGTGTCATTTTTGTTGTATGTGTTTTCAACTTTGTTTTTCACCCTCAGGTGAGCCTGGTGATAGTGCTGTTCATCACAGTTGTCATCAACATCACATTTCTACTCGACACTGGCAAGAAACAGCAGGATGACTATGCTAAACTTTGTAAGTATTTTCACTTCTATTCTGAAAAGCTTCATGCCACTTATGTTGACCAACAAATATAATTATGGTCTTATTAAATGGACTTGCTTTGATTTCCATTAGAATGCTGTTAAGGGGTCCACCCCTTTTTATACAAGTGGACTCGCCCAGTGTGTACTTGTACTACTGCCGGTGAATACCTGGGAGTGAGAGTGTGAGGTAACTGCTTTGTAGGAGTCACAGTTGTGAGCACGTAGACTCAGAAGGAAGTCATACTTCGATACTGAATTTCCCAGACTGTATATATATTATTATTGCTACTAACTGCATTTCTGGATCTACTAACCGTATTACCAATTGTGTTATTGTGTCAATACATTTATTTGCTATATTTCATTCCTGCGTTTGTCATTCATTTGAGACCGGATTTCATCTCAGAATCCACAACAAATTGGTGATGAGCGATTTAAACTCACACAGGAAGAACAAACAACAAAAAATTTTCCCTCGTCGTCCACAGCGGATTGGCGACAAGCAATTCGAACTCACACAAGAAGAGGAAATGGAAAAATCCTCCCCTCATCCACAACAAATTGACAACAAGTGAGTTGAACTCACACAGGAAGAAAAACAACAAAAAATTTTTCCCTCATCGTCCACAACAAATTGATGACAAAGGATTAAAAATACGTAAAATTGAGTTATCATGGAAGATTTTAAAAATATTTGTAATAAACTCGATTGGGTTTGTAATTCCTTCTTTAGAAGGAATTACAAACCCAATCGAGTTAATTACAATTAGTTTCTACTTCAACTTTATACTTCTAACATCTCTGTCTAAACTATGAAATTTTATTAGCTATTTATATATTTTTATTTGTATTTTTTAAATTTTTTCCTTTAATAAGAGTAGATATGTTCACCCATTGTCTGGTTCACACTCCTCCCCTGTCTTTTGAACAAGAGTAGAGGGTTATCCCTTGCTTCCTATTTACGATTGGGTTTCAGGTTCCTTCTAAAGTTTTCTCATTCTCTTTCACATCCAGTATCCCATTACCTTACTTGGGGTGAATTGATTAAAAAAAAATTAATTTCACAAGAGTCAACATTTCGTTTTCTTTAGCATTATTCAATTTTTGATTTTTAAAATTAGTTATGTATCAATTCTGAACAATATTCAATTACAATTACTACTCATTATCATAGTGTAATTTTTTTAATACACTGGCTACATTAAATTATCTGTAAAGTCAACTTTAGACAGACATCATTTTCCTCAAAATATGTGTAGCGCTCAAGAACCATTTTTTGGATGACTTCAAGTTGATATAATATCCCCAGCTGGTCAAGTATGTGACACTGTTTTAATGGGATCGATTCCTATGCACCATTCAAGATTGGAATCACCTTGACGTTCTCTTTCTAAATTCCAAAACAATCTTGATGTCTCAACTTTAAAATCTGGTTAGTTTGTAATTTTCTCAATCTCTTTGCTATATTTGTGTCATTTGATATAGCAACATCAATAATATGACAGCTCTTAATACCTTTTATCTAATACAATAATATCCAAATGATGGTGTATAACTCTGTCTGAAAATCATAGTCCCAGAATATTGTGGGCTTTCCAACTTCTTCAATTGTTCTGCAAGGCACATGCTCATACCAGTATCTTGGTATCCATGCTTTCTAGCACAATAACCAATGTACATAAAAGCATACCTTATCATGTCACCTCTTATATTCATTTTGAGCTAACATTTTGCAACCACTGATCAGATGAATCACATTCAGTGTTTACCACAAAACCTACATTTTGAAGTGATTGATGCTTTGTGTATATGGTATTTTATTGCATTGGTAATTATTATTATCATTTTCTTTCAGGTAAGAAGTAGTCTAAATAAGCAGAATGCAAATCTTTACAAAGAAGCAATAATTAATAGATATTAATCTGATATAAAAACAAATTAACCACTTTGGTTTATGTCACAGATACTGATTTTTTTCTATTTTCTTTTCTTTTTGTAGCTGGAGTGAGCACTGATTTCCGTGAAAATGCACAGAAGGGAAAGGAGAGGCTTGGGAAGACACTGTCTGTGATAGTTGTGTCCAGCAAAGATTCTGTCAGTGTCTCTGTGGATGGAACAGCTGTGAGTTTATATTATCCATTTAAAAATTGACTTTTAAGTTCTTTCTTAAAATCTGTTTCTTACATCAGAAGTTCCTCTCTCTCATATATATAAAAGTGAACATTGAAGTCAACACTCAGAGGCGTTCGTGGCCTGCTGATTGCGTCCAGTATGAAACAGCTTGTCGCCTCTGAGTGTTGACTTCAATGTTCAATTTTATATTTACATACGCTCTCTCTGATATTGAGCACTTTATCCCATAAATATAGCACACCTTAAGACTATATATATATATATAAGATTGAGTCATTAGTAGTTTTCATTTAGGGGAACTGATTGTAATGACTAATCATTTATCACTAAGAATAAATTTGGTGTATTGTAACACCTTAGTTTTTGAGTGGCAGTGTACACAGTGGATTAAAGAATAAATTTGTCGAGTTACAATTTAAGTTGGATTTGTTATATTCCCTTACATGCAAATACCCTTGGGGAAAAGTATGAATCTACCTCTTCTCTCCCCCCCAGCTATAGGTTAATTAGTAGGACTTCTAAAACCATTATCTTAAAAAAAAATGAAATTGTGTACAAAATATTTAGATTTTGGCATTAAATGACCCATAGAGGTTGAAATGCCACTAAGCAAACAAACCAGGAATAAATTTTTTAACCCTATTAATGAAGGGATTGAAAGTGCATTTACATCTCATATTACGGTAATTTAAACAAGGAAATAATTTGGTGGAGACACTTTTCAGTGTTTATGGTCAAAGAGTCATAACAGACTGGCAAGTACTAAATTGGTCTGCAAAGTTTCATTCTGGAGAAACATTTTTAGAAGATGAACCCAGACAGGGTCATTCATTGGGGTTTGGTACTGAAGCTCTAAAGTCATTAGTGGAAAGTAGACCAAGCCAAAGTACTCAGGAATTAGCAAAGATTTAAAACCCATCACAATCTACCATATGCCAACACTTAGAAAAGATAAAGTCAGCAAGCTGGGTGTTTTGGTTTCCATACACTCTTAGTGAAAAGAACAAAGTGAATTGTTAAGTAAAAACAATAATAATTTTTAACTCAAATAACTTTTATATAATAGGTTAATATTATTATTATAAACAATTTTTTTCTGAAACTTCTACCTACCTTAAGCATAATTATTGTTTCTAATTAGCAAACAATACTCACCTGCAATCTATTGTCTGATTGTAGGAAGGGCTATAATTTATCTTGGCCAGGTGTTGGCACCTCCACGCACAGGCATGGACCAAGGAAAAGTAGGGTAGATAGTTACTAAATTTGTTTTTTCTCTTTTGAGCACTAATCGGACATTAAAAGCTACATTGCTGATACATTCATTTTATAAGAAAACTTTTGTACATTTTCTGTTCACTTTCATTGTTTTGTTATTTTAAACTCATTTTTAAGGAGATGCTAAGGTCACGTCTTTTTTCTTTTTTCTTCTTCTTTCCACACCTGTTATACTAAGCTTGGGAGTTATTGGATTTTTATTTAATTAGTTTTCTTTACCACTCCTGATAAGTTTCAGGCTTTATTTTATGTCTGTCTTTTGTGTGTATGAGTTAATTCCTTCTATAAGGTGTTAGGGTTACTGTGTGAGTTGGATCCAAATTATTCTTTCTTCAGACAAGTCCTTGTACCCTGTTTTTAGTATAAACCTGTGTTGATTTCCTGCATATAGTTGTTTTAATTCCATGTAAGTCACTTTGAAAAAAAAAAAAAAAATGAAAAACTACATTGATGAGATTTCATGATTTTACTCAGACTAGTGTCATCTTGGTTGTTATTATTATTATCATGTTTCAGCTGTTGTCATCTCTGGCCTTCTTCAAGTGTCTGTGACAAATTCTTTATTTAATTCAGAAGAGTAGATTGTTCTCATTCCATTGTCCATGCAAGAAAATATCTTGTATCAATTCTATCTAGTTAATTTGTCTTTCTGATGTTGTGTGTCTCTTCCACTGAATCTGTGCAAAAATGTCCTCTACTCTATCATGACTGCAATGTATTGGTTAAGTGAATTGATCTACATGGCAGCCAAGAGTTCAATCCCTGAGTCAGGTAGTGCAACAAGTGGCATACTCTGGTTTGGTGGGGTGATAGTCCATATTACAAAGACAAAAGTAACTGGTTATATATTTTGATTACTTGTGAACATGACCCATCATAGAATCACATGACTAAGGAGACACTGCCAGTTGTAGACTTGGCTTATATAAAACAAACGGTAATTATTAATATTCAGAATCTCTCTTCTTTCAATGCAACTCAAGCTGTTAGTCAAAAAGTGCCTTAAAAATTTTAAATATAACATCAGTTGTTATCTTTTGTCTTAATTCCTGTTTTTTTGTTTTATCATTCTCTCTTTTTAATAATGTTTTCTTTTTCTCATATTCTTTCATATTCAGTAACTCATTGTGTATCTTAGTAGCTTTATTGCCTTGCTTGAGGTGAATTATTAAAAAGAAAAAGTTTGACATAAAGGCAGCCTTTTCTTATATTTGACTTGGTTGATTTGAAATAAAAGAAACTTTGTCACTTGTTGTTTTTTTTCATCTCTCTCTCGTTGTTCTACATTTAAATAAAGTCAAAAGCTGGTTCGGCTATCAATCTAAGAATGGCTATTTCTTATCTATTGTGACACATTACTGAGCATTACAAAATCTTGTCTTATTTTATTGGCATCATTCATTTGTCTTATTTTATTGGCATCATTCATTTGTCTTATTTTATTGGCATCATTCATTTGTCTTATTTTATTGGCATCATTCATTTGTAACAACCTGTGTAAAATTTTGCTCTTTCTTTCAGGTTCTGCATGATGAAGAAGTTGATAAAAATCGTGGCATTCACATAATAGTCTTAAATCAAGCCACTGTAAGTAATCTTCTGAATTCTTTAATATTTTTAATTATATCTTGGTATTTTTTTCTAAATTGTGATTTTATAACCATCTTGTATGTTATCAAATTTTCATAATTCCCATTGAATATGAAAGATAAACTTAAGCAACATAAAATCTTGAAATGTTATTAATCAATATCTTTCAAAATGTTACAAACTTTTATCTGCTATCAGAATTCAGATGTAGAGAAAAAAAAAACTATGTACTTTTGTAATTGTTTATGATTTCTAACCTGTCTATATTTCTAAGATGAACTATTTATGTTATTCGGACTATTGTCCTCATCTTTGTCACCATGTTTATTACAACGTTTCGGCCATTGTATGCTCCGGCCTTCTTCAGGTGGTTGGAATGTCGAACTGAACCCTTTATTTTGCTCACTGGCGTAGACTGTTCTAGTTCCACGTGCCATGTCTAATGGATGTCAGTTATCACCTGTTAATTCCCCTCTGAAAGTTCTCCACTGCCTTAACCAGGTATTGAACTCACACTTTTTGGGTCCTGTCATTGGATCTAACTAAAGCCTTTATCCACTGTGCCATGTGTCCTTGAGGACAATGGAATGAGAACATCTGTGTTTGAATTTCTGGGTATTATAAACCTAATGTCTTCAGCATCATTTTTTACCACAGAGGGTGGTGATCTCCCTTTTTTTTTCTCCATATGTGGTCAGCCATGCCCGATTTTTCCACTTCCCCTCATGTTACAGCTTTCTGATGTTCTTGAAGCCTTACCTTAAGGGGGCGGCCTCTTTTATATTTCTTTCCACAGCTGCATCATTGGAAAATTTATAAACTTAAGGAATCAGCATATATCAGTTCAATACCTGGTTAAGGCAGTGGAGAACTTTCAGAAGGGAATTAACAGGAGATAACTGACATCCATTAGACATGGCACGTGGAACTAGAACAGTCTACCCCAGTGAGCAAAATAAAGGGTTCAGTTTGACATTCCAACCACCTGAAGAAGGCCGGAGCATACAACGGCCAAAATGTTTGATAAACATGGCGACAAAGATGAGGACAATAGTCTGAATAATGTAAATAGTGTATATGATTTCTAAGTAAATCATATTGATCTGATGTATAGAATCTTTATAGGTTGCTTTACTGATTTTAATAATGATAATTCATTTATACACCCCACAATGAATGTAGTGAATTTACATTATTGTCTATAGCCTTTCATTTCACAAACTGATTAATGAAGTGTTACTATTACAAGTTTTCAACAACCTTAATATACCTGAACCAGGCAATTATACTGAATTTTCCAGAAATTAATTTTCTATGATGGATACTGCTTCTTCATCCTCTCACTCTGTAGTGTTGCAGAATATGTTACAATTTTGGATAGTCCTGGGTATGATGATAAACTACATCTGACAGCAAGGCCTCTGATCACAGGATTGGAGGTTTTGAGGAACGTGGAACCACCTCTTAATTGCTGTTGTTCTTGGTCCACCCTTGTTCTGTTTATTTATAGCAAAATGACCAGCAATACATATTTGAACAAAATGGCCAACAGAAATTTTTTTTATTCATGGCCCACTCATGAGACACAGAATGAAAAAAGTTCTTCTGCCTGCACAAAGTCAGTCAATGAAGCTTGATGTAAATCACTTCTAAAAACCATAAATGTTTAACTGACCTAGCCTTGTTTTACACTCACTAGGAACTTATTTACACCAATTTGTTGTTTTTAGTAATAAGTTTATTTTGCTGTGGCTCCTTATTTACCCTCATTTTCACCTTTTTTTCAGTTTTGTTGTTTTCATTATTGTTGTTCCAATGAATCTTTCTGAGGAAGTGTTTGATCAAATACATTCCTTTTAAAAGAATGTGTGCCATGATTTTTAAAACCATATATAATTTCTGTGGTATAAAATTTTTGTTATATATATATATATAAAACAACATTCTAACTTTAGAGATGAGATCTTGCAAATCATTGATATGTACCTGTGTAATTTGAAATTTTAGTATAAAATTTGGTGCACAAATCATTTTTTTTTTTTTATTTTGGTCTGTGGATTTGAAAAAATTGACTAAAAAAATAAGAACAGTCATGTTTCTGTTGTCAAATATGGTTTATTTAGAAAACGAACAAAAGTATTCCAAAATGAAATGTTATGTAAAAAATAGACTGGATAAGGGTTAAAATATGTTTATTTTTAACTGAATGGGGTTAGAAAGAAAAAAAGAAACTAAAGTCATTTTGTCCATTTTTAGGCGAGTGTTATGGCCAAACGTGCATTTGACACTTACAGTAAACAAGAAGATGAAGCCATGGTCCTCTTCCTCAACATGGTTACCAATGGTCGAATAATCATTTTTGCTATTAAAGTAAGTTTCTAAATATCTCTTCTCACAATTTTTAGTTTTATAAATTAAAATCTAATTATGCTGCTTGTATTTAAAGAAATATTAACCTGACCTGAAGGATTGTGCTGGAAACTTGAAATTCTTTTTGACAATTCATGTCTAATTTTATCATTAGTTAATTTTTATTTCAATTAATTTTTATATGTCTTAACCAAAGTAAAGTTTTTATAAAAATGGTAACTGTCCTTTTGTACTTTTTTTCAGGATGAAGGTTCATTCCAATTAAAGCAAACGGCACGTAATGTCCTCAAGCAACTGGGTAGTGAGCAAGCAGAATCCTTGAACTGGAGAGATATGTGGGCTTTTATCACTATCAAAAAAGGTAGACTTGTGCATACAAAAGAAACCAAAAAATCTTGTTTCTCATCATTTTTGTCTTCTATAAATAATTAGTATACAAAGGATTCTTGCTGACTTTTAGAAAAACCTTCATCTTGATCTCAAGGCAAATATCTAATAACTCTGAATTTAATAAGTGATTATGTGTTTCTAGTAAAGATCTTGCTTTCATTTCCCATATTGAAATTGATAATAATATTCTTTACTTGGTGTTGATTACTTATTGAAGATCAATATTGGTACCAAAATTTTGAGAAATTATCATTGGCATAAATATTTTTCCTCCTGTGGTCAAGTATTAATATCTCCTCAACCTCCTTTGATAACAACCATATTTGAAAATAGAACAATTGGCAACATTGATTTTTGCTTATTTCAAACAGCCTCCTAATTATTGTTGAAAGATTTTATTAAAATTATTCTATCAATGCTGTGCCCACCACAGTGGCATGTGTCTGCAAGTGATAAGGTCCCTGATGCCATTTCCTAGAAGTTGTATCTACCACTATTGTCTATGTATACACATGAAACAGCCTCAGTTGATATCGGCTATGAACAAAAGATGGACAAGAAAACAAGCCTTAACTTAGTGCAGGAGACCCAACAATTAGTCTGTTTGCCTTCTCAAATATTAAATCTCTTAAATATTAAATAAATTTGTAATATTAAGTAAGCATATGTCTTTTTCTAAGTTTTTTTCTGAATCTAAATTGTAGTTTCTAGTCTAAATTCAGAAGTATAATCTTGTTTAACACTCCTTATTGTATTCTTGTCCCAATCTGGAGCAATAAGATTAATATAGATAATCAGTATTAAGTGTTAAGTGCTGGATCTGGCAAATTAATTCCAAACCTATATCTCCCCCATCCCCCACCCTTTCAAATTACAACAAAAATCACAGCAAGTAAGAAGATGAAAGAGCTATGTATATATGTATGTATAATAATAAATATAAACACAAAAGGAAAAACCTTTTATTTACCAAGGTAAATGTAAAGATTTTATTTTGAAACATGTATTTATAAACAGAAGTAAAAAAAAAAAAAAATATTAAGCTTTCAAAATTTTTAAATTTAAGAATACTCAAAAAATATTCTTAAGGCTAACTGTAAAGATAAACTATGGAGGATGCTAAGTGATATAATCTAATGTTTAATAAATGAAACGGAGTGGATATTGTGGTATAGAATTTTTTTTCTATTTTATATATATTTACTAGTTTATAAATGTAATTACTATTTATTTTATTTTAATTTGATAAATTATTGATCTATTTTGAATAATAAAAGGTTTTGATTTAACAATTTTCTTTCAATGTTTAAAAAATTTTTATGGTCATGTATATTGGCTTTGAAAACGAGTATTTCTTTTAGGAAAGAAGATATTTGAAAAAAGAAAAGTCCGAGATATAGATTAACATTTTGGAAGGATTAGGCATTGGTAAAGAAAATGTTTTCCTTTATTTATATTGTCTAGAATGGATTCACATGATTCTTCAGGTGAGGATCCTGTACAGATACAGGTATAGACATAGGCATAGGTGTAATGGGCCAATATGATTCTTCAGGTGAGGATCCTGTACAGATACAGGTATGGACATAGGCATAGGTGTAATGGGCCAATCTAAAGATGATAGAATCTGTTGTTTTTTCTGGTTCACTACTTACAGGACTCTCTATTAGAGTCTTACTTGCCATCTGGGAAATTTTTAAATCATTTCACCCCAAGCAAAGTGGATAATGCCACTAGGATGTAAGGGATTACTGAAAATAAAAGACAATAAGAAGGCTACTGTGGAGAAAGGACAATAAAAGAACAGGTTTCAGGAAGACAAAAGATAATGATTGACTTTGCATTTAAATTTTTGAAGATTTTAATTGCACAGAGAATCAAGAAATCAGAAGGGAGTTCCACAAGCAAGAAGTGCAACAAAAGAAACTATTAAACTAGAACTTACCGTTATGTTTAGTGTTTCATCAGTAAAATGAAAGATCTGGTTGTCAATCTAGTAGTACAATTAAATCCATGCACTCGAGATACCAAAAAGGAAAGCTTATTAGAATAATTGCCATGGAAATATTTATAGAAAAGACAATGAGAAGCCACGTCAGGGTGGTGGAAAAGTGACTGAAGTCGAGATGTTAGTTCAGGACAAATATCATTACAAACCTTTCTTTGGATTTTCTCAAGATATAGAGCAGGAGCACCTAGAAGATCAAATCATATATTTTGTTTGTGACATGTCATTTCTATAATCAGGTTAGTACTGAAGCTTGTAAAGAATCATGACTGAAGTACACTATTTACATTATTTGGACTATTGTCCTCATCTTTTGTCACCATATTTATTACGTTTCGGCTGTTGTATGCTCCGGCCTTCTTCAGGTGGTTGAAATGTTGGACTGAACCCTTTATTTTACTCACTGGGGTAGACTGTTCTAGTTTACATGCCATGTTTAATGGATGTCAGCTCCAAGTTCTCCACTGCCTTAACCGGGTATTGAACTCACACTCTTTGGGTCCTGTCACTGGATCTAACCAACACCTTTATCCACTGTGCCATGTATCTTTGGAGAGGGGAATTAATAGGAGATAACTGACAATTGACATCCATTAAACATGGCACGTGGAACTAGAACAGTCTACCCCAGTGAGCAAAATAAAGGGTTCAGTTTGACATTCCAGCCCCCTGACGAAGGCTGAAGCATACAACGGTCGAAACGTAATAAATATGGAGACAAAGATGAGGACAATAGTCCGAATAATGTAAATAATGTACATAATACCTCATAGACAGACAGATATATACAGATACTAATAGTTTCCTTACCATTTTTTTCTCTCTCTTCTACCTGATGAAGGCTGAAGAATGGATTGGTTGAAATGTTGCATTAGCACCTGGAAGTATCCAAAAAATAATGAAAAAAATTTTTTTTTTTAAAAGAAAGTATCTGTTGTTAATTATGTACATTTATAATTGGCAATTACAACCTACAAAGCATATTTCTTAAGATAGTCCTGGGTATGATGATAAATTGGGAGCAAGGAGATTGGAAGTTTTGAAGATCATGGAATGATTCTCTTAATTGCTGTTGTTTCTAAGTTCACCTAAACCTGGGTTGGTAGCACCTGTTAAGCTCCCAGCTATGGACAAATAGTGACCCCCCCGCCAAACAAAAACAAGACTCTATGCAAGTATAAAAATACCAGCAAAACATTTTCTATAAACAAATGACTAGCAATATATTTTATCTGTAGTTGAAGACATATAATTGTGTTCAAAATCTTTAGATTTTGGCATTAAAGAACTTGATATGTCATGAAACAAAATCAATCAACCAACTAACACGAAAGAACTCTTTCATGACATTAATCCATATAATATCCTACAATTTCTTAAAGAAATCAAACTGTATTCTAAAATATAACTGCAACAAAACTCCAACATAAAACACACCTATCACCACCTATAGTAATTATGGCCACACAAACATGTATATGCACAAAAGCTGAGTATTATCTACCATACTTTCAATTGTGAAAGCAGAATGACGTATATCATATTTTTATTACTTCAAAGTTCCCAAGTAAATTAAATTTCGGCATTAAATGATCCATAAAGAGCTGATATACCATTAAACAAACAAAACAAACGTATCTCTTAAGATATTGTAATTTATTGCTTTTTGCACCAATCTGTGTATGTAGAATCTTTTTAGTTGTTAGTGTATTTTTTTTTTTGCTATTCTAATAGTATTGTATTATATTTAAAGTGTTTTAATTTTTAATCTTAATTTTCTTGAACTCTTTCTCTTTTTCAAATTCTCTTGAAGGAAAATTTCTTTATAGTTTTATTCAAAGTTAATTATCAACTTTTTAAAATTGATGCTTTTAAATTGATGTAATTTGTCTTAGTTATTATTGTAAAAGACAAGTGAATAATATTTATCTGTTTTGTTAATTTATGCAGGTGAAAAAGTTGCTGAAGCTTATAGCAAGTCTGCTGACCTGTCCACTTGGGGGGAGAAAGTCACTCTCACTGCAGCCATACCACTGATGCCAGCTGAATGCAAGTTTTTCATTTTATTCTCTATCTACCTTTTACTTTCTCCTTCTTTCCCCCTAACTTCTTCATTATATCAATTTAACCATTTTGAACAAAAATTTACATAAAACTTCTTCTTTCTCTCTCTGGTTACAGTTAGCAAATATGTTGATAGTGTTCTTGGTAGGGAATTGATTGGCTTTTTTATGACTTATCAAACCCTTTATGGGTTATGTAAGACTGAAACATATTTTGGATTGCAAGTATAACTTTATTTTTTCTTTTTTGAACACTAACCCAATTGGCATTTGAACTTGGTTCTTCAATTTCTCATTCCGAGCTGCTATCTATTAGATGTTGGTAGGGTAGTAGGTTAAATTGAAACATGACTAGGTAGCAAGGCCATATACCCAAAAATCAGTAGCCCTAAAATAACGTGTGGAGTAATAGGAAATAATGTTGTATAAATATTCATTTTTTTTTTTTCATCATTTTACCGTGAGCAAGGTGATAATGCCACTAAGATGCAACGTGGAAGCAACAGCAATTAGGTGGTTCTACACTCCTCAAAACCTTTAATCTTCCGGTCAGAAATCTTACTGCCAGATGTAGATTATCATCACACCCAGGATTATTAATAAATCAAACCTACTTTGAAAAATGTTTGTCAAATTTTAAATAATTAATTTAGATGTCAAAACAAACATTGAGTTAAATATTTTAGGTAGTTTTGACATGTTTTATTATCATTAGTGGATTTATTATAAAAACTGAAATCTGAAGTTATTGCAACCTTCATATAATTTCAAAAGTGTCTACATGGCCTTGTGGGTGATGAATTATTTTCCATCCTACAATCCCTTTCCTACAGACAAAAAGTCGCAAACCCCTTGTTACTATATTTCCATAGCAACTGTTTTTATGAGTTACAGTCTTTAGTTCCACCAGTTCTGACCTTCACAGTTAAGACCCACCATGTCACATACAAGAGGATGAATCGTCTTTATTCCCTTTGTATCTCATTAGTAAGAAGGAAGTTAAGACTTGAACAGCTTCCCAAGAACTGCTACTTTGTGAAACAGACTCCCAACAGGATCACTACAATCTTAACTTCCTTTAAGTCTAGGGTGAGCCATTACATCTCTCTTATATAACCTCATAAATTACACTTCTAACCTTATACTCATACAACATTATTCAATAATTATCTTGAGTGTCTCTTGGGACTTGTATTGCACGATCATTAGTATAAAAAAAATTACCAAAATATAATAGAAAGATAGAAAGCACGGTGGCTGAAAGATAAAGACAACAGTTCAAATAAATCAACGTATAATTGTTTAATTTTCTTGCTTAATCATCATTTTGGTATACGTATTTCCATAATCACTAATATGAGGAAATTTTTAAGTTTTCACTTCCCTTAGTAATAACCTGATAGACTAGCTTGTTAACCACAACTCCATCGCAAGGAGCCACATTTATTTTAATGTATCTTCAAACAATTTTGATCATGTAGCAAATTCTTAACATTGTTGAATTTTCTCGACTGTTCGACTTGCTAATTAACATCTTTTCTTTTGTAGTGAGTGAATGTCATTGGCCAAGCAGTGAAATAAATAACCGAAGAAAGGCCTTCTGTTCCAAAGTAGAAGGTTATGGCAGTGTGTGCCAATGTGATGATCCTGCCCCTATTGTGTTTTATCCACCTCCCGTACGTGAATCTTCCTTCATAATTTTGTTATTGCTAAACAAGATAGCTTTCTTAATAAGAGAAATCTATTGACTTTTCTAAGATTTCAACTTAAAATATTAATTTGAAATGTCTTGATTTACAGCTTTAAGTATTAACTTTCAACACAATGGAAGTTTTTTTTTTTAATTTTTCTTTTTAATTCAAAAATTTCTTTGCATTTATTAACTATAAAGTTTAGTGTACTCAGATTTTTAGTATGCAAGTCAATATCTTCATAATCAAATTGGTATTTGACTAACTAATGTTAGTAAAATTTTCCAAATTTATTTATATGATAAATATAACATCTAGAAGCTTTAGAAATATTTACAATAATTTATTTGATGGTATAAGATTTTTATTATTTAACTTAAGGGTTGGGCATCTTGTTGTAAATAATTGGAAATAGTGTAGTTATTAATCTTTATTTTCACATATAAAGATTGTCACATATTATAAGAAAGATATAATCTGAAATGAGAAACAAGATATTGTAAAGCTATTTAAGTGATGTGAACACAACTTTGGAAATTGTGAAAAAATGAATAAACATCACAGAAAAATAAAAGAAATTGAAAATTTTGATAAGAATAAAAAAAATATTGGTTTTACGTGTCACAGAAAAGGTTTTGAAAACAAAAAAAATAGAGTAATAAGCAAGAAAACTGTATTGACCAGCAAAAAATATTTGAAGAAGTTGATGTTGCAAATGCAAACAGAAAAGAGGCAAAATATTAAAAACATTGTCTAAAAGCATGAAAGCAGTCAAACTACCACCCTTAAGTAAATATCACAAAAAGAATTGTCATTTGGCTGAAGTATATGAAAACTTTCTCAACAGTAATTTTCAGTCATGAATGTAAAAAAATATTGGATGAACCTGTTGGCTGGCATATAAGTTGGTTTCTTCATTGAAATAATCAACCAATACAACTTAGAAGACAATAGAAAGAGTAATGTTTGTGAGTACTGTAGGCAGTGGATGTTTGTTGTGGTGTTAAGGGACAATAGATCAGAATGTGAAATTGGGAGCTGAGTTTAAATTCCAGTTGGGTTTGTTACATTCACTTACATGCAAGTTTCCTTGATGAAAGTATGAATTCTTTTCTTCTTCCCCATCTATGGGTTGAATAGCAGGACAAATTGAATCTTATAGCCTTGATTGGCAACCAGTCTACAGCAGAAAGAAATGGCAGTCTGTTGCAAGAAAATCTGCCTAGTCAGTCATGATCACCCAAGTGTTTATTGTGTATAGCATTTAACTGTCAGACAGTAAGCAGTAAAATTATAGGTTTCTTCAAAGTTGATGGTATCAAGATAAAATTATGGAATTTTATAAATTCTTGAACAAGACATTTTTTTGTGAGAGCACAAGCAAAAGGTTTTAAGCTAGTGGGTATTTTCATGCAAGGCAAAGTTCCTTCATTTTTTCTTAAGTTGACTATTCACCAATTTACCAAAATGGTTTCAAAGATAACAAAATAATGGAATGACTTTTCAGCCAATGCATTCATTAACCCAATAGAAAATGGGATAGATCCATCATTAAAACAAATGAACAGAGTGTCTGGACACGTAGGAAATCTCATTAACTATATTTTTTCACCTCCAGATTTAACATGGTTTTGTCAAAAGAAGAAAGACTTGACTTCTTTTTCTGGTGTATGCTAAAGAAGAAAGTGTGCTCAATGAAATTCACAGGTGTAACATGCTTGATTGAAAGCATAAAGAGTGAATGTGCTAAAATTGATGGCGATATGGTGTTATAGCATTGAGTTCATATGAGTCTTGCAAAGCAAATCAACTTTTGCATCACAAATGATGGAAATCATATTGAAGATGTTACTTGTAAAATATTCCAATTCAATAAAATGTTGAAAATTTAATTTCTTGCAAATATGCATTTTTGCCTAGGGTGTCCAGAGTTTAGGGACATACCCTGTATATTAGAATGGAAAAGTATATTCAAGCAAAGATCTATGGGAAGCAATAAAAACTGCAAGTAATTTTAATGTCAAAATAAAAATGTTAAAATAAATCATTGGTTTTGAATGATTGATGAAGGTTAGCAAATACCCAGGAGCCTATATTAATATATGAAATAATAAAATCAGTTTATTCAGGTATATAGGATATTCTGTCAATCCATTGTTAATATATTTCTATATAATCAAATATATAGCATATAGACTTTGGATTTATTTATAAATAAGAGCTTATGTTGCAATTTGTTTGCATAATAAAACTTGATATTCTCTAAAAGAAGTTATCAATATTTTTAATAATAGATAGTAAAAGCTGAAACTCACATGATATATTGCTCATGTAAATATTCTGTAGATTTTACCAACATTGCTTAGTTAATCCCATTTTTTTTTTTTTTTATGAAATCATTGATTTGCAACATAAAATCTGAAATTGTGAATTATTGGTCTACTCTTGCCATCAAAACTGACAGTATATATTGTCATAACTGTGTTATTTTTGTTGAGGCAGGCCTGAGATTAAAATCTCTCACACAGCAAGAGTTGGGGGTCCTGCCTGGAAGAGAATCTCACTTTACATCAACATACTGAAACTTGTCATAATAATTTGAGGCAAGGTTTTATGAGGCCAAATACTTTGAGTATTTGTTAAAACAAGACTTGAACTGATGTGCCCTTTATTCTTGTGGCATTGTAGTTTCATCTGTGTACCTAACATTGCTGAAACACTAATCTAGAAAATATATCGATGACTACCTCTGCTACTTCCTCCTAGAGAAAAGTTTTTTCCCCCTCCTCTTAATGGATTGTATACATGTAGGCTGAAGAAAGCATTTTCAGGTGTTCAAATAAAATTCAGAACATTAATGATTCTTTCAATGTTTGAAATCAAGTTTTTCTTTTTATGGCAGCTTGTTTTTGTTGCTGATATTTCTATGAATCTTTGTTTATAAACTTTTTCTTTCTTTTAAGCTTCCTGATAAGAGAATCTCTCAGGTGCCTGTAGCTGTGATTGCAAGTGACCGACCTCACTATTTATATAGGTAGGTAGATAATCTTGAGCTTTTTAAATCTATGTAAAGGTGTCTGTGCAGTGATAACCTATGCAATATTCATACAAGTTTATGAAGTGGATGAAACTGGTAAGCAATGCTAACAAAAGCAATGGTTATAAATCTTTTTTTAAGGGCCTTTTCAATTGACAAGATATTTTTGGCTTTTTCTTTTCCTTGGTAGTTATAATCTTGAAAACAATTCAGTCCTTTTGTTTATAAAAGTATGAATGTGATTATCTCACCAATATGAGTAATTGTAAATAATTAAACCTTTCTCCTGTTGTTATTATTAATTACTCTCTTTTGCATTTGTCAGATATGACAAAAGTTACTTGGCGTAGTCTGTCACAAGGCCACAATAATAGTAGCATTCATAAGGCCTGAACTCTTTATACTAGCTATTGATTTACCAGACTAGCTTGTTGACCATAACACCAGTTTTGGCATATTTTGGTAATGCTGGATGACTCTACCAAAAGTTTTTTTTTTTTTGTTTTGTAAGGTCATTTCTAATTTGAAGTTAAGGACAATTATATTTGTCTTCCCACATTGCTTGATTTGATTTCTCTTTGCTCTTCAGGTGCCTTTTTATTTATTCCATCTTGAGGTTATCAAGTTTTGTATAGCTAAGAATTCCTTTTAAAATAATATCATGAAAATAGAATCTTTGAAAAAAAATCTTTTTTACTCATTGATGCGTCGATGTGAGTAAAGTTATATACTTTTTTTTTGTTTTTCTTTCATTCCTTTTAGTGGAGGGATTATAATTTTGATCTTTTAATCAGCATGGATGAAAACCAATTTACTATTGGTCTCTTTGAATATCATCTATTAATATTTACTAACCCTTAGTACGGTACAAAGCCCTAAGTATGGAGTCATTGAGTAAAGTTCAAACTAGCTGCAATAATAGTTAAACCAGATTAACAAGCTAACTATGACACTACAGATAGGTGTTCAAATTGAAAATTTATCAAATGGAAGTAGCATCATCTCCAACTCTCTTTACTAATATATATATATATATATATATATATATATATATATAGTGTGTGTGATGGATAAATTATTATCTAAATTACACAAAAATGAAAATAACACTGACATCTCATTTTAACAGGTATATTTACTAAAATTACACAAAAATATCTTGAAATACTAAAGAGTAAATTTATTCAATAAAATCGCCATTGGCTTCAACCAGAGTCTTCAGATGACTTTGGAATCTCTTGCAAATCTTCTTTGCAATTCTTCGTCTTTGGTATTACAAGGAATTTTTTGGTCTCTCGCTCAACTGCACTCCACACATGATAATCAAGGCGGTTGCAATCTGAGGAGTTAAGTGCTCAGATGTAAGGGGTGATGTGGTTGCAGAAATTGACTGACAGCCATGACTGGGTTTTCCTGCTTGTGTGGCATGGTGCAGAGTCCTGTTGCCAGATATAGGGTCTTCCAGCAGCCACCCCCTTGACTCAAGGCAGCACTACCTCCTCAAGGCACTCAATGTAGGTGTCTGTGTTGACTCTGAGGCCCTCACCAACAAATTTCTTTTATCAGAATGATAAGAGAGTTTTGCGATCTGTCGTACCTTTATAATCACCATTAGTTTCATCCAACTCTTTCCGAATCCTTTGCACTCTGAAATGTTCATATTAGAGCTTCCGGTGTAAATGCCATGCGGTAGAGCATGCTGTTTCCAAACTTCTGGCAGAGTAAATTGTGTCATGGGATTCTTTTTCTCACAGATGGTGCCCAACAGACCTTATTATACAATGCAGTCAACAAAATCAAAAAGAAACATATATGTGCAAAATTAAAAATATAAAATGGCGACAATTTACCCATTGCACCCTCTTGTATGTGTGTGTGTGTGATATATCAGTTCATCTGCCTTCTTTCAATACTATAGCAGAACTGTTTCTGTATACAAGGTTAATACCATCCTCTACTTCTTTTATGCAAGGTGATAAAAGCCACTAGAGGGTCACTTAACACTGTCTTCTAAAGTTATTACAAACTCACCTGTTATACAAAAAAAAATTGCTCTCCAAACAATTGCTACTCTCCAAAAGATGGCTACTCCAGAAAGGTTAAAAACTTTTGCTTTTAGAAGTTTATATAAATATATATATATATATATATATATATATATATATATATATATATATATATATATTATTTTTATTTAAAATATGATTCCAAATCGCTACATAAGAGGTCTCATGTTTCAAAACAAGAGCCAAAACTTCAATATAATCCTTTAAATTAAATTGAGCACTATCGAGCACTATTTTTTAAAATAATAACTAAAATACTAAGGGACTTTGGATTATTTACCTAACCAGTTCCTTCCTATTTTCTATATATTTTCACATATATATATATATATATATATATAATTTAGAAGAAAGAATCCACGTGTGTTTCTTGTAGTATTTAAAATAGATAGGTTAGTTAATAAAACAAGGGAAAACAAAAGGGTACCAATGTGATCAGTGCAAAAAAACACTTATTATATATTAATTATTAACCACAAGACAGAAATGAAGCACAGAGATTAATGTTATTAGTCTGGAATATTCAGGCATGCCTGTGTCCTTCATCAGCGGTGTGAGAAATAAACAGAAACGTGGAAGACTCACCAATGGTGGTTCTTGTGGCTGGTGTGAATTCGTTGTAGAAATCCAACCCCTGCTTGATTCCTTGTGTGTAAAACTTTTTTGAATGTATATTTTATATCTATCTATCTATCTATCTCTATATATATATATATATATATATATATATATATATATATATATATATATATATATATATATATATATATATATATATATATATATATATACATACACACACATACACATAAAATACTAAAATTGAGATTGGATTCAGATCCTTGTGTTCTCTTATTGTTTCAGATAGTAACTTTTTCATACATTTAGAAATATTATAGAAATGGAAACACTGAAATATTTTCAACTTTTTCCAAATACATTTTGAAATGTATTTAATTGCTTTTCTCTTATGGTTTTAGGATGCTACAATCAATTTTGTCTACACCTGGATCCAATCCTGAAATGATAACTGTGTTTATTGATGGCTACTATGAGGTATTTTTATAGACATTTATTATTCTGTAAGGGTTAATACTAAAACCTTGTACTGACATTACAGGGTATGTAAATTCACACAAAGAAAACAACTTTTATTGAAACATAAAAATATGCTTATTTCATCTATTGGTTAGAACAGAAGTTTGTAGATTTTTTTAATAGGTATTTTCATTTCCCACCTGACTGAAATTTGACATGTTTACATATACAGAAAGGTGACATTTCAATATGTCTTTATGTGTAACTTGTAAATTTTGAATATTTTTACAGTAAAAATGAAAAGGGAGAAAAATGAAATGCCTTTTTGTCATTTGACATTCTTTATTCTGGAAATGAAAAACGCTGTATGAACAGCAAAGAAAAGATACTCTGTTCACAGGGATGCTGTCATAGGTGAGCATATGTTTATTAAAGTGAAGACAGAACATTGTTGACAATGATGACCAAACCAAGTTACATGACATGGGACTTCATAGAGATACTCCACATATTTTATATGAGTATTGTAAAGCATTTGCTTGGATTCATGAATTGCTGCAAAGTTGGGTGCATCATAAGTTAATGAAAATAATTTAATGGATCACATTTCCATCTGCAATTCTCTGCTCACATATACCAAAAATAACCCACATTTGGAAATAACAATCACAGGCAATGAAAAATGGGTTTACATATCAGTTTGGAGTGAAAAAATCAGATGAGTTATCATTAACTACTCTAAAACCAGCCTGCACCTGAAGGTGATACTGTGTGTCTGGTAGGGAAGTTGGAAGGGCATTATTTATCATGAGCTCCTTCCATAAAATCAGCTTTTGAATTCAGATAATTACTGTTCCCAACTGAACTGATCGGCAATTAGCAATTGATGAAAGGGTGCCAGACCTCACATTCATTTCTTTGCTGACTCAGCAGAAATTGGTACTAAGCTGAGATTTTCTACCACACTCACTGAACTCACCTGAGCTTACACCTTCAGATTACCATATAATTTTGATCTCTACAAAATGCTCTTAATGGGAAGAAATTTATTTCTCCAGAAGTCCGTAAAAGCCACTTGAGCCAGTGCATCACCCAGAAAGATGCCAAATTATGGGAGGATGGAATCATGAAGCTGCCTCAAACTTGGTGAAAGATAACTGAACAAAGTGGTACATATGTGGTTCAATAAATCTATGTACCAATAATTAAATATTGTCTTTAAAATTCACTTAAAAATCCTCTAAATTCTTAGTCTAACTCGATATATATCCTTGTCATTAGTCTATTTTAAAAGAAAAGGATTAAATAACTTTGAAAAGTAAACTTTTTTTTTATTAACAAAAATAAAATGTAAACAATTTTGTATTTTTTCTCTTATTACAATATTTTATTTTAAAATGAAAAATACTCAAATATCTTGGAAAGCACCACATGTTCTTTATAACCTAATATGGATTACCTACATGCTTATAAAGAGTGCAATGGAGAAATTGTTGTTTAAATTACACAAAAATGAAATTAACACTAACATTTCATTTTAACAGATAATATATCTGTTAAAATGAAATGTTAATGTTAATACAATTAAAATTATACAAAAACGTCTTGAAATACTAAAGAGTCAATTTATTCAATCAAACCATCATTGGCTTCAATCACGGCCTCCAGATGACTTTAGAATCTCCTGTAACTTTTCTGAACGGTCTCCTTGTTTAAGTTGGTGAATGCAGCCATAATCCTTGCCTTCACTTCATTTTTGGTTTTACAAGGAGTTTTGTTGGTCCACTCGCTTGTCCCAGGGTATCCACACCTCCACACAACACTTGATGTATTTCTCCATGTTGAGTGAAGTGCTATTGGAAGATGAATGGAGGCATAACATCAACATCACTAGTGACCACTCCAAACACCAAGATGATGTCTGGATATATCATCCAACTCTTTCTGAAACCTCTCCACTGTCCTTAGATTGACACCCAAACACTCTGTAACATTTGTATTGGAGCTTCCAGTGAAAATGCCAAGCAATACATCATGCAGTTTCAAAATTTCTGGTGGAGTGAATTGTCGTGGTGCTCTTTTTCTCACAGACGGTGCCCAGCTGATCTTACTATGTACTGTGCAGTTGACAAAATGAAAAACAATGTACATGCATGAAATTAAAAATACAAAATGGCAACAATTTACCCATCATACCATGTATTTGAATTTCATTTTAGATTACACATACAAGGGTACATCAAAAAGTCAGGTCAGGCTTAGTCCTGCTACTGGTAACAAATTGTCACATGGATGAGTGATTAGCATTTAAACCAGCTCTCCTAACTTTTTTGTTGCTGAGGAGTGTGATATGTCACACCCACTGGCCAAAAAACAAGACATGTCAAAGGGTGGATGAGCTTCATATATGAGCCAACGGTATTTCAGAATTCACTATTTCAGTGAAACCAGACAATTTCTTTTTTTTCTTTTTTTTTTAAACTAGTTTTTATTTCTCTTCATTATATTCAATATGTTAATGTATAAATTTCTAATTGTGTTTATAACTTTATAATTTTTCTAATTTTCATTCCCTTTCAGAACCCTATCAATAATGAATACACAAGAATACGGATTTTTTGCATGGGGTTTAAAAAAAACAAAGGTTTAAAAAAAAAATCAATAGTTTAGCTGAGCTTAAAGAATGCATTCAGTTAGCAGTGCAGGAGATAAGTCTTGAAATGTCTCAAAATGTGTTTTGCAACACTAAGAATAGATTTGAAATTTACGGGGATATAAACGGAGTACATGTTAAACATTTTCAATAAAGTTTTGATGTAATATTTTTAAATCTATTTGTTTTGTATCATAATTATGTAATAAAAATAAAATTGTCCCAGTTTTTAAAAATTTGCCAGATTTCATTGAAATAGTTAATTCTGGGACACTGTGTGTAGCCATATATATATATATATATATATATATATATATATAAAAAAAAAAGATAACCCTTTATGAAGTCATCAAAAAAACAAATGTTAGCAACTTATGACAGTTTTTTTTTTTTATATACACAAAACCCTTTCAGAAAAAAATAAAAAATAAAATAAAAAAATAAATAAATCTCCATAGACACTTAACCAGACTAGACGATGTCATCTTCCGCTTTAAATTTAGACACCCCAACCTTACCCTGACTTGACGTCTTTGAATGTAACTGAGATATTGATACAAATTATTAACCCTTACGCCCCTTTTATTTAAACAATTGCTCTAGCCGTTACAATAATTTCAATACTGAATATGCTTATAAAACATGTAAATTTCAGGAATTAGTTATTCCAAAAAAAAAAAAAATTTCGCTTGAAGATGGAACAGAGCTTGGTACTTTAATTCAATTTAATTCAAATAATTATATTGAAGTTTTCGGCTCTTGTTTTGAAACATGAGAATTCTTATGTGGTGTTGGAATCATATTTTTAAATAAATAATTATATTTATGCTCTACTTTTGTATTGAGCACTATTTTTTAAAAATAATAACAAAAATACTAAAGAACTTTAAATTATTTACCTAACAAGTTCTTTCCTATTTTCTATATATTTTTACACACACACACACACACATATATATATATATATATATATATATATATATATATATATGGCTAAGATGGGGGTCTCAAGCTTTAAATGGCAACCTTCATTTTAACAGATATATTTACCAAAATTACACAGAAAAACGTCTTGAAATACTAAAGAGTAAGTTTATTAAAAAACACTCAGTGTACTTGGACTACTATGAGTGGCTGAGTTAGGCATCATGAAGGGAATCTGACATTATAAAGCCTTGTCTCAAATCATTGACAAATCCTTTGTCCCTTATGTTAGATTAATCACAATCCTGCATCAACAAAAAACATGGCTGTATGTATGGTAGATCAAGAGGTCTATAGCCTCTTATGTCATTATTGACTGAATTTTGATCTGAAATTTTCACTGTATGTTTATGGGAAAATATTCAGCAATGAATTTAGTGTGTTGCCAGGGAAGGAGATTGTTGAAAAATATTTATATAAACATGCTTTTTCACCATTAATCTTGATTTTATTTACTTAGATATTTTCCATTGGATTTTTTCTTCAAATCTTCAATTTACTGAATATCATGTTTTCTTTTTTAATCCTGGCAGGAACCCTTTGAAGTGACCAAGCTCTTTGGGTTGCATGGGGTGCAACATACTCCACTCGGAGTGAAAAATGCAAGGATTTCTCAACATTATAAATCCAGTTTGACTGCAACTTTCAATCGTTTCAAGGTATTCTTTTCTGTATTATTAGTATATTTTCTAAATGCTGAAATTCTTGTTTGCTTGCTTTAGTTTCCACTGTTCTCTAGTTGTATTGGAACTTGCAAATTCATTTCAATGTATTCAATCTAGAGATCTATTATTAGAAATTTATAAAAAAAACAATGCAAATTGAATAAGAATTGACTGCTGATTGATGCTGAGAATACCATAAACCAAACATGTGAGCAATGAAGTTTTAGAGAAACAAAAAGGACACTTACATCAGAAAGAAAGTTGAAATTTCTAGGGCACTAAATAAGAAAAGAGTTGCTTGGAAAATTTGATACTCACAGGACAAATTGAAGACAAGTGGGAACTAGAAAAACCCTACATAACCTAGCTGAACAAGGTTTAGAAGAGATAGACAAAATTTATTAAGAGCTACAAAGGATAAATGATTGTAGAGAACGATCTTGAAGGGACATGGCAAATAGAAGAAGAAATATCTTTCTGGTATTTCTGGAAAGATTCTGTTCTTTGACAAAAAATAAATTTTAAATAGGATACCTTTTTTTTTTTTTTTTTTTTTTTTTTTTAATCATTTTACCCCCAAGCAAGGCGGAGAATGCCACTTGTATGCAGGAGGTTACAGAGTGAAGGGGCAGAGGAAAAGACTGGGTATAGCGGGGAATCAAGGAAAGAATAAAAACTGAATGGGATTCAAGGAAATAGAAGATGGCGATTAACATTGAATTTAAATTTCTAAAGTTTGTAGTTATCAGAGAAGCAAGGAAATGGAAAGGAGTTCCATAGGCAGGAAGTATGAGAAATGAAACTGTTGGAGTAGAAGTGTCAGTTACATTTAGCTAATTCAACAGTAAAAGGGTGGAACCTAGATGCCAATCTAGTAGCATGCTTAACCTCATGTATTCCAGGCACCAGGGAAAAAAAGCTTGTCAGAGCACTAGACATGAAAGTATCTGTAAAAATGACAGAGGGAAAGTGACTGAAGTTGAGATGCCGAGTCAAGATCGATTTACATTGCAGATCCTGACCAGATATGGCAACAGTATTCAATGTATGGATGTGTGGTACATTTGTAAATGTGCAAGATGGACTCTGACAAGAAAAACCTTCTGGCACGACAGTGACCCAACTTTCCTTGCAGTAGATGCAGCTATTGATTTGATGTAGTCATTCCACTTCAAGTCAGTTGAAAATGTGAGGCCAGGAAGGTGCAGTGTATTGCTATCCACAAGTCTAACATCAGCCATCCTTATGGCAGGCAGGAAAGTTTCTCTATGGTGAATAAATGATTGCAGTTTCATTTTGGAGGCATTAAAATTTATGATCCATTTCCCACCCCAGTTAACCACAGATTAGAGGTCCTTTTCAAGAGCAACAGCCAGGTTAACTTTGTCAAAACTGACAGATTTGCTATTGAGACAGAAGTAAATGGTAGTGTCATCAGCATAAATAACTACTTGGGGATTGATGACACCAAGAAGATCATTGAAGAAGATCAGAAACAGTGTAGGATCCAGAATAGAGCGGGGGGGGGTCAGCTGCGTTTGTGTGAAAAGATCTGGAAGCAAGCCCGTTCAAAACAACCTTCGTTTCATAATTTGATAGGAATGATTGGATTAAATCAAACAAACATCCAGTAATACCATAGCCCTGGAGCTTATGTTGAAGGCCGGTGTGCCAAACCCTGTCAAACGCCTTCAAGATATCTAGAGCCACAGGTCAAGCTTCACCATTATTATTAAGAGCTTGATATACATATTCAGTGATGGCCGTTAGCACATCAGCAGTAGGCCTCGCAAACCGAAAGCCATATTATTTGTTAGAGAGTGGGTCGGTAGAGGTAAAAGGCTTAACCACTTTATCATTGATTAAAGCCTCAAATATTTTGCCAAAAAGTGGTAGAAGACTAATAGGGCGATATTTAGAAAGATCAGAAGGTTCTCCAGAGTTCTTAAAAACAGGAACTACAAAAGAGGAATTCAGAGAAAGCAGAAAAACAGGAAGAGACAAGGTAATAGTTGTAGAGTTGGAGAAAACTGGAGCCAGATCTTTAGAATATTTCTTTAACATGACGGCTGATATCCCATCACCTCCACTTATGGGATTCTAATTTAGAAATAATGTCCAAGATCTCTGTTCTAGGAAGGAAATCAGGTGTGGGTACTCCAACTGAGTTGAATGTTGAGTTGGAAGAGAATTTCGGATCAAAGCATTCAACCTTATCTGCTCTAGATGTCAGGACTTTGAATTGATTGAATAGAAGAGGGATTGAGGATTTGCTATTGTTCAGCACACTCTTGCAGAGCCGCCAATAATCTTTAGAACCGAACTTGGAAGATGCTATACGTCATTTCGTTTTATCAGCAAGCAGTAACTTCCCTTCTTTGAGGGCATGCATGCACTCATGATGAACAGAGACAGTGATGTCTGTTGCAATCAGACATGTCACTTTGGTACAGCTGGAAGAAGGGATACCTGTGTGCTATAGTGGCCAAGCATGCAGATGTGAACCAAAGAGAATAATGTGGTTTAGCTTGGTGTTTCCTTGATGGAATGAAATCATCGATGCTGACTTTCACCTTATTTTCATCTTTTAAAGGCCATGGCAAGAAAAGTTCACCTTTCATTTTCTTCTGAGCATGCAATGGTCCTTTCCCAGTTTTTGGTGTACACTGACAGAAATGGAAATAGATGTAATGTGGTGTTTCATTGTCTGGGCAATCAAAAGCTGAAGGAGGGATCCAATGTATGCTGACATAATGAGCCTTTTCATTCTTGAATGTTTTTTTTAAATTTTATTTTTTATTTATTTAATCATTTTACAGATTTGTGGAGAATTTTATGTTTGAACATCATAAAACTTTTGCTTTGCAGTTATTTTTGCTGTTGCTGAATAATTTTATTACTTTTCCATGCCAAATCAATTGTATTAATCTAAATTCTATTTTCATTCATTGATCCTAGGATGCTGAATATGCCATAATAATTGAAGAAGACTTGGATGTTTCTCCGGATTTCTTCAAGTTAGTCAATTTTTGATAATTTACAAGAAAAGTTTTCTTTTAACATACCTTGAACATACATTGAAAAGTAAATATTATAAGATAATATATAAAGTATATACCACATATATAAAGTATATACCACATTTAATAATAAAATCAGAGCATCTACTCAAAGATGAGTATCCATCAAAAATAACATTTAAGACAAAGTGTGTGTTTGTATATATATATATATATATATATATATATATTAAAAAAAGAAGAGGGTGCCATAAACGTTTTTTTGGTTGTATCTTCAGATTAATTGAGAAAAAAATTAGAATGTTTTACATAATTTCCGACCGCGTGTTTCTGGTCTGAACATGTCTTCAGGTGAAAGTTAATTATTTTACATATTAAAAATAATTAATTTTTCTTCATGTTCAATGTGGAATATTCTCGACCAGAAACATTCTGTTTGAAATTTGTAAAAACAATCCGATTTTTTTCTCATTCGGATTACAACCAAAAACGTTTTATGCACTGAGTCTTTTTTTAATATACATAAATCTCGTTGGAACCACTACAACATATTTCTTTTATATATATATATACACACACACAGATGATTGAAAAGGTGAAAACTAGCAAGTTGATATAGTTTTTAATATAATATTAGATGTTTATCTAACATTAAACACATTTTTTTTTACCTTTAACAATTGTGTAATTATTTTACATACTTCTTGGTTTAATTGAGATATATATATATATATTTATAGGTTAAAGTGGTCAATATCAGGGATAGTGTATGTAAATATAAAAGTTGACATGGAGGTCAACACCCAGTGGTGACAGTATGTTTCATGCTTAAATGAAATCATCAGGCCTCATGATTGTGTTTAAGCATGAAACAGACTGTCACCACTGAGTGTTGACCTCCATGTCCACTTTTATATTTACATACACTCTATCTGTTGCCATTAATATATATATATATATATATATATATATATATAATCAAAGAACTATGAACTGATTTAAATTTACTGAACATTTTGTAATTATATAAAATTCCTACTATTACAAAAGTATGCTTACTTTTTTTTCCTTTTAATATTTACCAAGGTTAAATGAGTTGTGAGGAAAATTGTTAGGTCACTCTTTCAAGTGGGCAAGTCTACCTGCCAACAAACTTACCTAGACACAAATCCCTGGTACTGGCAGAAAATCAGTCACTTTTCAGGCAAAATATTTACTAAGCATAGTTTATAATTGGTACAAGTCCACAGCAGTGTGTGCATCCAATTTAAATTGAAATTTGTGTACAATCAAGTTGGCCTGCAAGAAGAGCTTATTAACTAATGTGCACTAGATTTTACGCCTTATTATTTAGGTATGTAAAAGCCACTTCCTGTTTTTCTTCTGATTCATACTTTAAAAAGTACTATTATTAGTTGACTCTTAAGCCTTGTAACTTCCAAGTCATTTTTTTAAAATTATTTCTAATTGATGTGAACCTCTTCTTGGTTGTTTCTTTAACATTTATGTAAAATCAGTAAAGTTAATTGATAATTTTTAAATTGGAGGTATCCCTGTTACATTCTCTATATGTAGTAGGGACATTGTTAAATTACTATACTTTGTCTAACATTAGAAAGAATTCTAGGAAAGATTTTGATTGTAATACAGGTTGAGAAGTATTTCGATTTTCAGATTTGGAGATACAGGCTATTTAATTTGTATATAACATCTATAAAATGGGACAGCTTGGGATTGGAACCCAAATATAAATATAATATCCTTTTACATTTCATAACACAGCTTATACATATACCCTGAAGGTAGTTTGATATAAAATTTAATAAATTTTGTCTACATACAGATACAGGTAATGACACTAATCATGTAATACTCACACAGATTTTTAAGTGGTGAAATTAAGATTTTGTGCAAAAATAATGTTTTGTATTTTCTGTACATATACAAAAAACATGATCACTATTTGCAAAAAATATGTAAATGCAGGGCTTTTGGACATTTTGAATAATATCTTTACTGTGCACAAAACACCTGGTAAGTAATCTATGAATGAAGATGTTGCTGTAATAATCACTAGCAAAAAACTGGTGCCTTCGTAGGTTATGTAGCTGGGCTTTCTGAAATTTTCCATAATGTCAGCACCTGAAAAACTTTTGAATTTTGAATGTTTTCAGATTTTGGAATTTTGGATTAAGGATACTCAACCAGTCCTAGTAATTGTATATGGTTCCAACACATCTCTTGAATCATTTTTTTTTTCTTTTCCTTTTAGTTACTTTAGCCAGACTATGCACCTATTGGATGAAGATCCTTCTATTTATTGCATCTCTGCTTGGAATGACCAGGTAAGCATGATCCAATTTGATAAATTGGATTCAATTAGCTTTATTTATTTAATTTTGGGAATTGTTTCAGAGTATTTGCATTTTAAACTTCTATTAATATATAATCTGATGCTGAAAATCTTAGCATCTAAATTGATACTTACAATTGCACAAGCCTGAAGTTGATTGAACCAGAGTCCAACGACACCCTACTCTTCCTATCATGTTACACAGAAACAACAACGGAACTTCAGTTTGAGGTTTACAGGAAAACTACTAACAAGAATGATCTGGTCAATTTTTACTCCAACCACTTGTAACAAGATCAAATAGAGAATAATTATAGGAGTCTATTTAAGACTGCTAAGAATCTGCAGCCCCCAATACTTACACAAGGAAGAAATATACAAAGAAAACACTTTAAAAAATATCCAATATACTTATTTCATAGACAATGTCAAAAGAAAGACACACAAAATATACGTCTGCAAAAAAGATAACATTATTAACAACAATAAACTAGATAAAACATATATAATACTATCTACCATCTCCATAAGATCCACTCTTCAAAACAATCTATTCAATCTGAACAATATGAAAATAATTACAACCACTTTGAAAACTGTCATGGATATGATGAGAACCAAAAATACCCACAATAATAATAATTCTGAAGCAGGTACATAAAAAATAAGTAGCCTGTTCCTCAAAATACATTGGGGAAACTTGCATAAATTGAAAAAAAAAAAAACTATGAACATAAGAGACCTTATACACAACAATTTATCAAATGCATTAGTCATACATAGAAATAAATTTGACCACTACTTTGACCTTGCAAATGCCACACATTAAAAAGAAAGTAACTTACTTAGCAGGAACATTCTTGAAAGTGCCATGTGGAACCATTGGAGAAATTAATTCAACATTTTCAGGAATAAATTTTGACATGTAGAGATATCTTCATGTATTTTTATACAACTAATACATGATTAACAAAAGAGAGAAAATATGCTCATGTTTACAAAGCTGAAAAGGAAAAGAAAAACATTAAAAAATTAGCTAATAGGAATTGTGTGTGTATATAAGTTCAGTCATCAGTTGCACTGGGGAAAGAATTTTCCCAATGAGGATGAGTATCATGTTAGTGCTGCTACCTAGAACATGCTAGAAATGAGGAAGATTATGCTCATCCTTTTATTGTGCTGAAACAACACAAACTAGTATTATAATCTTTTTATATGTTCAAAGTCAATGATATAATTTAGATAAAATATTAAAGTATTTATATTAAGTAGATAAACTAATTTTTTAATATTTGTTTTGTTATATATAAATCTGCAAGTGATTTACATATATTTTCTACTAAAGAAAAGCCAACTATGCCGGTTTGACTAAAAGAGTTAGAGGACCTAACACTTTAGACCAGAAAAAATCCTGAACAAGGAAAGAAAAAAGAATGAAAAACCAAAAGGCAAACAGCTACCTCCCCAGAAAAGTGCTTAACACCCAGCTTACCTGGAAAAATTGCTTCAAAACATCAAAACTCCTAACAAAGGACAGCTTGAGTCATCATTCGAGTTTCATGCTCTTGCAATTTTCAGACAACAAGAATATATATATATATATATATATATATATATATATCACAGCTGTTTGAGGTTTCCTATAGCCCCACTGAACTTAAATAAAGTCAATTCAGGTTTCCTATGGTAAAAATTTTCTTTTCCAAGTGAAAATCATCACAAAAATGGCAAAAGTCATTTTGTCACAGTTTATTTTCTCTCAAAAAATGGATTTTCATACTTTTATAGGGGTAAAATATTGAAAAATGACTGTTTTATCATCACCTAAACTAATATCAAGGAAACTTTTGATCTGAACCCCATGAAACTAGGTATTTTCTGAAAGCAAAGGATATATTCTTTCATTTAAAAGTAAAATTAGCTGGTGTAAATGACTAAAATGTGAAAAAATAGTGAAAATTTTGCATTTTTTTTCTTGTTCTAAACATTAATTAATGGGAAATTAACCATTTTTTTTTTTTTTTTTTTTTTTTAAATCAGAAAGCCTAAATCATAATCAAACTATTTCAGGCATAAAATTGAGAGTTTTGAAGGAAATCAACATTCCTAGGGGTTCAAAATGCGACAAAATCCATTGTTAATTTTCAATTATATATGACTGCCAAGGGTTAAAAAAAAATGACACTTGACCACGGAAATCTTTAGTAAAAAAGGCAAGAGATTTATCTGCAATTCCTAACCACCAGAAACCAAAAGTTTTTTTTTTTTTCCAAAAAATAGCGATAAGGAAAATTAAACCTAATTGACTTTTGACGTCTAGGTCAAAGGTCAGCCAATAAACCAGCAATAAACAGCAAACCTTAGAACAAGTTGTAATAAAACCCCACTCCCAGATAAAAGCAAAGAGTGAAAAAAAAAGGGTTCACCATTACTAGGGCTTGATATAACTTATGTTTCAACAATGGCTTGATGAGTTTTGTTTTGTTTTTAACACCCCATGACCTGGGTGATGACAACAACACTTAGCAGACGACATTGTTTTTTTCACCGCATATCTTTCGTATTTCCCATCGCTGGTCCATTTAGCCATTCCTTTTATTCAATGACGTTCATGCCAAATGAAAGAGAAAGGAATGAATTTTGAATGATGTTATTTTGAAACAAAAATAAATATTTTTTCATTAAAAAAAAGGGGATTTTCTCAGAAAATTGGGCATAATTTCTTAATGCTAACATGGTGACATTTTCCACAGCCAAATCGAAATTAATTACCAGTGAATAATTCCATGTGCAAACAATAGCCGTCTGGATCCTATAAAGTCACCCTAAAAGGTCCAGAAGTTTACTAATTGATCGAAAACCTGTTGTGCATAATTGTATTTTTCACAGTCAGTTTCCATTATTTCATCTTGATATTATCATTTTCGGACAGCCAAGTCATCAAGGATTAAGGATAACAGTTTGGCATAGGTTTTCTTTAAGAACTTTACATTCTATGAGGTGTTTAAAATGTTACTGACGAATGAGATTTTTTTGCCGAATATTTCGTTTACGCGCCATGTTGGATTTTCCTATATGACAAAAACAAGGGTTTTAAACAGCCGTGATATATATATATATATATAGTTTTAAGGTGTGCTATATTTATGGGATAAAGTGCTCAATATCAGAGATAGAGCATATGTGTGTGTATATATATATATAAAAAGGATTACTTAGGTTTTCAGTTGTTATCGAAAACCCTCAAGATTGGCAGTTGTAAATGCAGAAAAATTTTAAAATTGAAAGTTATTGTATATAAGTTAGTGTTTATAAAAATAAAACGGACATTCTGTAGTTAATTGGATTAAATATACAATGGATCCTTATTTGAAACTGAGTGAGTGAGAAATCCTGAAACTCTGAGTCTACCTCTGATACATATTATGAACTTATATATTACTTCTGGTATATATAATTATTTTAATTCAAATAATGTGATTTGTCACATCACAATGCCAGGTGATAGCATATAACTCCTGTTTTAGGTGATACTGTATGTCCACTCTGTATGGTATATTCATGCAGTGTAGGTTCTCGGTGGATCATTCATAACTTGCCATATAACCTGGCACATAACATTACTCAACTCAAAATGCATTAAGAAGGATGATTTACTAAGCTTCAATAAATAATTGTCTTGAAAGGTCAGATGGTCTTTAAAAATTAATTTTTTCTTTTTAGGGTTATGAACATTCATGTAAAGATCCTTCTCTTCTGTATCGTATTGAGACTATGCCAGGACTTGGCTGGATGATGAAACAGAAGCTGTATAAAGAGGAATTGGAAACGCAATGGCCAACACCAGAAAAGGTTGACTTATTATATTTTCTTCTTTAACTTCAGGCCATTCTATTATAGTTTGACTTAAGAAAAAAAAAAATCATTCCAGGTTGTGTGTTTTTTTTTTTTTTTTTTACAGTAAGATTCATCCTGTACAAGGCCAGGGGACCACTCAAGGTAGAGGTTTATGATAAGGGCAACAGTATTCCATTTTTGGCCTGATCTGGCTCTTATAAAGGTAGAGGATATCATGAGGAGTCAGGTACTTACTGAAGTGGTACAGGGAGCCAATCATTTTACCTGCATCTTTAGTGATGGATTGTATATAGAAATTCCACTTAAGGCCAGGTGTGAGTTTGGGGTCTAGTATCAATAAGAAAACAATGATATTGTACATTGGGGAAGCAGTTGGATTAAATATACAATGGATGCCTCTCAGTCTTTCACTGACCACACAAAGCAATCCCCCATGTGTTTTTGCTTCTCATTCAAGTTGGTGTGCACAAAGACTGGGAAAGATTCACTGCACATTCACAAGAATGGAAGATGAAAACACAAATCTGGTTTTCATTAATTTGGTGTTTATTTAACTGGGATTCACAGAGGGACTTAGTATTCTCTTTGGGAGCAGGTAAGGCAGCACATAGGTCCCTTCTCATGTTCTTACTTCCACCAAGCAACTGCTACCAATGTGACTGACTGGACGGACATCTTGTCTCTCTCTTGCCCTAACCAGAACTCTACTTATATAAGGCTGCAGACAGAAACTTTTGGCTTCTCACCAAGTGTCCCTTGACCTCACATTTTCATTTATTTGTTTGTTATTCTTTTACCTTTTTGGTCAAGTGTGTTGCTGATTTGAACACCAGACTTCAGACTTTCTATTTTGGCCCTTAAAAAAAATACCTAACTCTTCCTATAGTATCATTTATGGCTTACTTGACATTGTGTGTATTCAGCTGGTTGTGTGGTAGTTTGTATTTATTCCTATTGAACAGAAATATTTAGGCTTAAAGGTCCCATTAATCTCCAAATAAAGATTATGCATTCCTAATTTGTATGTGATTATTATATATCAAAATAAAATATAAGTAAAATCTTGTTACATTGAATGTTGGATAGGAAAACCCTTATTTTTATTTATTTATTTTTTTAATTTTTAATTGGAGCCAAACTTTTAAGATGTCATTTATGCTATCAATTTTGGTAAACTCTGGCCTACCCTATTATCATCATCATCATTATTAGACCAACTGCAATCAAGGTTGTTGTGAACTCTACAATCCTTTCATTAGCTGCATATGCTTCACCAGAACTATATGCGGTTTTTAATTATAATTCTCCTAGACCGAAGAACCAAGTTTGCTCTATTTAACCCATAGCTGGAGGGAGAGAGATGAATGGATAACTTTCCCAAGGGTATTTGCATATAAATAAATGTAATAAACCCAATTGGAATTAAAACTGTTCTCCAATTTTGCATTTTGAGTCACTATCCATTACATCCCATTCACATCCAAGTTTACAGGACCTGGTATCACCAAGTAGTCATTCATCTAAGTACTGATAAGGCTTGACATTGCTTAACTTTGGTGTTTGGGCCAAAGAGTTTCAATGTGATAAAGCCATAAGCTAAAATTACACTAAAATGAAATAAGGTTAAAAAAAATAAATAAAAAGGTAAAAAAATTATATATATTCATAAAAATCTTGCATGACCTGGGGACTCTCTTATGTTGCTTGATGGAAAGTTGATTGCAGGCTAATATTGAACATACACCCAGGTCTTATCGTGATCTACATGGCACCATATATGAACATATCCAGCAAAGTTACCAAGGCATGGATGTGTGTCCCCATGAATTGTGTTGTGATCCCCGGTAAGAAAAAAAATTATTTCTGTTCTTGCCAAACCATGGTTCTTTTTGTCCAGATATTGGGTTAATAATGCCTTTGTAGGAATAGACGATAAGTGCAATTATCTTCAGTAACAAACAAAAGAACAACAAAAATTGTTCATTTAGATTACATTATTTCAACATAGGCAGTAGGTACGGGAAGGTATAAAAAAGGTGTTGGCTTTTGCCTTTCTTCAATTCTGTCGTCCAATGCTAGGACATTTGTGGGAACAAAAATTATTTTTCAGGTGTGCTTGGCGTGATGCACCATTTGACATAGTTGGCAACCAGAACTTGGTATTCCAGTGACTCATGTTTATGGAAGATTCCACTCATGTGTCCAGTGTGATCAGACATGATGACAGATGTGAAGTGCCAAATAAATTCCTTTGTCTGTCCCCAAAAATATGTATGAATATGAGCAGATTGGAGAATAGTATGATCTAGGTTAGTGAAAATAAGCTAAAATTCCTCTGTCGGAATTCCTCACATGTGACTTTGGGTATCATCATTTCTGACCCCTTAGAATACTTAGTTTCAAATCTTCAGTTCCAATCAGGAGTTTTAGAATTATTTTCCAAGACGATTTTCAAGCTTCACTTCTTTCCAAAATTATATATTATATTCAATTTAACTTCATCTTTCTTTCCTTCTCCACTCTCATCTCATACATGCTTTTTAACCCTATTGCCTCATAAAATCACATTGTCGCACTAATCTTGTTCTTGTAGCAATGGGACTGGGACATGTGGATGAGGGCCAATTTTATCCGCAAGGATCGTGAGTGCATAATTCCAGACATTTCACGCACGTATCATTTTGGCTCCAAGGGAATCAACATGAACCCATATTTCCAGGAAGTTTACTTCAAGAAGCATTCATTCATGACTTTACCTAACGTTCAGCTGAAAGATGTTGACAAGTATGTAACCTGAATTTCTTATAAAATTTGTTGCTTGCTTTTTCTTATTTGTGTTTCAGTTACATTTTTCTTGGACCTGAGATATTCCTTCATTTCTTTGAAGAAGCCAAATTTATAATCTTTGACTACAATTTGCATTTAAATTCATTCTAAGTTTTCTTTTTGCATTGTTTGCTTCTGTAGGAGTTTCCTTGTGCATATTTAGGAAAAAAGTAATAAAAAAATCTCTTGCATATTAAAAAGAATCCATCAGTCTTGAGAAACTATGGAATCCATTTGCACAAACCTGTGATTTATACTTTGCAACTATGTGCAGAGGACTTAGTAGAGTTTCTGGGACAGAGTACTTAATCTGGCATGATCAATAGTTTAACAAGATTGGCGTGCTCAAATTCTATCACGATGACTTATCACTTTATGCTAGCACAACCATCTGGACATTTTCATCTAAAAGGTTTGAATCAACCTGTGGTATTTTTTTAAGCACTTCCCAATTGTCACATATTGGAATCATCTCATGAGGCCGATATTATCAAGAAGTCAAAAAATTAAATGGATAACAGCTACAACTGAACATAGTTAAAATGTTAGCATTCCAACCATGAAAGCCTGATTCAAATCTTACTGTGGTTGGTTTATCAAGGAGTTTGATATGAACTGTGATAGTAGATATTTATTTTCATGTCTGCATTTAGAAATTGTTTCCAATCTATGGTTTAGTAATTCCTTTTGTTGAGTGTGAGAGATTATTGCCACTTTTTTGTGCAAACAAAGTAGACATCTTTTTAATATGTTATTGTAGGCAGGTGCAGTTTTCATGATTTCCCAGCTTATTTTTTGTGTAGTGTTTCTTTTATTTGCCGTATGTATGCGGATAGTGTGGTGCTGTTGGCGTATTTTCTGTTGGAGAATGAGAGGTCATGGGTGTATTTTCTTTGCTTGAATGTTCCTTCTGTGGCACCAATGTAGTACATTGTAGTGTTGTTTGTGTTTACCTTGGCTTTGTATATTATGTTTGTAGGCAATTTCCCTGTAGTGAGCATGTAATTTTGTCTCTGCAGTTGCATTGGGTGTCTTTGATTGCGCAATTGCAAGTTATTATTTTTTTGTTGTGGCTTTTTATTATTTGTGTTATGTTTTTAGTGCAGCTCTAACTAATTTTTACTTTGTTCTTTTTAAATATTTTAGCTAAAGTGTGCGTTATAGGGAAGTGTTTTTTTATTAGATTTAGGAATATCCTGCCAATGTTTGTTCTGATGGTTTTGTTGTATGGTGGGTTAAACTAATTTTACTGTTAACACATCAATATCTATTATTGACATTATCAGTAATAATTAATATCACAGCTATTATCACTACCAGCATCATCACAACTGTCAATAACACACAAGCAGTTAACATTGAAAATACAAACATCACCCAGCTTAACCAAAGTGGTGGTGAAAAAGCCCAGTGTGAGGAAGTGTAAGTTTCTCTGATGTCCCATGCAGTAGAACAAAAATGTGTCTGCTCCTTGTTGAAATGAACATTGCCACACATAAAAAGCTAAGGTCCCAACACCAAAATACAATTGTAACTGCATATGTATGTATGCCCAAATGCACAGATAAGTATCTGCACCTAACCTTGAATCGTTTATATGGGTATGTTGGTTGGAACTAAAATGCATACACCTGTATACTATTAGAAAATACAAACATAATAACCTCATCCACATATAAAAAAGATTAAAAATAATGGAAGCCTTAATAATAAAAAAAGAAAATCTAACACCCAATAATATTAACTACAAACACAGCCACACTATGCTGTGTTCAGAAAATAAAACATCTCTATAACTTTAGATACATACACACAACACATACATCCAGTTAAAAAGTAATAATAAAATCATCCTTGATAATGGCTAAAAGTATAGCCGAAAGCACTTGTAATTACAAAACATTTGAACAGTTTCTACACTTGTTTGAACACAAGAAAAATTAAATAAAACATTTAATTGCAGTATCTTGTTTGTCATTATGTATAAAAGAGGAATTGCTGCCTAAATACACACACACATATATATATATATATATATATATATATATATATATATATATATATATATATATATATATATATATTTCGAGACAATAAAGTAACATGCAAGGAGTTACTGAGTGAAAGAATATGAGAAAAAGAAAACACTATTAAGGAGAGAGAACAGTAAAAAAACCAGCAAGTAAGAATACAATTTAAATTTTTGAATATCAAAGTTGACTGGGAAGCAAGAAGCTGGAAGAGAGTTCCACAAGTGAGAAGTGCAATGGAAGAAACTGTTAACATAGAACTTTATGGTTACATCTAGACATTTCAACTGTAAAATAAACGAACCTTGTTGCCAATCTAGTACTGCACTTAAATTCATAAAGTCTAGGTATGATAGAGGAAAGTTCATCAGAACAATTACAAAGAAAGTATTTACAGAAAAGGCACAAAGAAGCCTTATTATGGTGGTAAAAAAAGTAACTGAAGCCGAGATGACAGGTCAGGATCAATAACATTGCAGAATCTTCTTTGTATTTCATCAAGAATCTCTAAATAAAGTAGAAGAACCAGACCAAATGTAGTAGCAATATTCAAAGAAATATATATATATATATACACATATATATATATATATATATATATATATATATATTGCTCAATATCAGTGATAGAGCTAACATATTCAGTTGTATGGATATTAGTTTGTGACCCTGGGTTTCATGCTTTTGCAATCATCAGACAAACTGGCTTATTTTTTAAAAAATGGATCTATTTATGCTTATTTGTGTTTGACTATATTTGGTGGTGATGGGGGGGAATTTTCTTGTGTGTTTGTTTGCAATGACACTCTCACATATACACACACATATACACACAGGTGCATTCACTCCAGTTCACACAAACACACTTATATAAACCCATACAATCTGAGGCTAGGTGCAGACACACAATCACATGTTTGAGCATACATACATACGCAAATGCCACTCCACCTCAGTGTCGAGACCACAGCATTTATATATGTAGAGATGTTCTCTCAGCAAGGAACAAGTGGGGGGGATTTTGACACCCCTCAGATCAGCCATCTGCACCGTCAGACAAACTTACATTTCTTTACATGCATACACACACATGTACACTTGTACACACTCTCATTGGTCTGGGTCTTCCACCACCACTTTGATTTAAGTTGGGTTCTGTTTGTGAACATGGTGATGATGATGTCTGTATTTTCAACGTTAACTGCTTTTGTATAATTGATGATTGTGATTGTGCTAATAATAATAATTGTGATGATATTATTGATATATTAATAATAGTTAATTGGTGTGTTAACAGTAAACTTAACCTTGATGATGTGAACAATAATATAATAATGACAAAAAACATGGCAATAATGACAATGTTAATTATGATAATAGTTGTGGTAACCTTGATAATGGTAATACTAGTCACAATGACAATGATAGAAAACAGTACTAATGGTAGTAGAGATGGTTATGAAGTGATTGTTTCTAAAGTGACAACATCTGTACTGATAGTGAAAATAATAGTAGTTATTTCTGGTAGGTACATAAAGTGGTAGCAACAATATTAATAGCAAAAGTAGTAGTAGTAGCCATTATAAAATAATAATTTGGAAGTGTTAATGGTTTTATCTCCCCTGATGGCTGCACCAACTGTCATGATGGTGGTCATGTCCACAACAGTGCTGGTAGTTTTATCGATCTGTTAATTGTTATAGTGATGTTTGTGGGGTTGGTGGTAGTGTCGGTAACAGTGCGCATAGTGTTAATGATAGGTGTTGGTGGTTATGTTTTGGTGTTCTTGCATTTTAGTGTTCTACCTTTTATTTATTTTTTTCGGTAGTTTCATTCCTTGTTGTGTTCAGTTTTGCTGTAGGTATTATCCATTTGGTATCAACTGTGATAGTAGATATTTTTCATATTTTTGGCCGAGCCCACGGTCTCGGAATGCCCACATTAAAAAGGCCTTGTGCCACATGACACCCTTGTGGGGGGGTGACTCAATATCGTGATAGTAGATATTTATTTTTGTGTCTGCATTTTGAAATTATTTCCGATCTTTGGTTTAGTAATTCCTTTTGTTGAATGTGGGAGAGTATTGCCACTTTTTTGTGTAGACAAAGGAGATATCTCTTTGATATGTTATTGTAGGCAGGTGTGATTTTCATTAATTCCCAGCTTATTTTTGGTATGATGTTTCTGTCTTTTAGTTGCCATATGTATGTGGATAGTGTGGTGCTGTGGGTGTATTTTCTTTGCTTGAATGTTCCTTCTGTTGCACCAATGTAGTACATTGTAGTGTTGTTTGCGTTTACCTTAGCTTTTTTTGTATACTGTGTTCGTTTGTAGGCAATTTCCTTGTAATGGGCATGTGGTTTTGTTTCTGTTGTTGCATTGGGGGTCTTTGTGTTACTGAAAGTTATTATTTTATACTATATATATATATATATATATATATATATATAGTTATGATGGTGGAATGTACTTGGCCTGACCCACTTTCCAAAATGTAACCAATGGTTTTAAATCAGAATTTTGGAGATTCCCTTGTCAAGCCAAGAATTTTCAGCACCACTTTGTGTATATTTCATATCTGTGCAAAAGCAGACAACCCATTTTTTTTCAAAATTACAGTCTGTGCACAAAACTTATAATAAAAATTATAGAAGATTTTGCACAACTTTTTATATAATTTATATGTTTAACATTACTGTAAAATGATCCTTTCTTTTCTTTGACTACAACTTTTGTCAAAACTGGACAGATTGAAACATGCAATATTAAATATGATACTGTTTCATAAAGATTTACAACCAAATGAGTTTCTTGTATAAAGTGAAGATGATCTTTTGTGTGTGTGTGTGTGTATGAGAAGGTCAAGTTATTACATTGACAGCATGTGTTGATCTGATTTGAAATAAGACTGGAAGGATTTCACAGTCCCTTTTATGTCAGGGTTAAAACCACTGTTTAAACATCTTTGGGAAACACACATGCTTGCATTTAGCAAATATTGAAACCATATATCTATTTTTGGTTCTAACATTTTTATAACTGTTGATTGATTAAAATTTTTGTTAATAGTTTTTTTTTTATAATACACTTCTTTTTCCAGAATGAAAAAGGACAATTATGAAGTTCTGATAAAGATGTTGATTAAAGATGCCAAAGTTTTAAACCATACCAGACCACCATGTGATGATGATTTTATTCCCAACACCAAGGTGCAACTTTTTTTACTATATGGAAAAAAAAAAAAAAAAATCCCAAAATATTAAACTTCTAAGAAAATCTTAAAATAATTCGATAAATCTTTTAATTAATAAATCCTACCTCTTTACACTATTTACATTGTTAGGACTATTGCTATATTCACAATGTTTTGGTTGTTGTACACTCCGGCCTTCTTCAGGTGATATACATTGAAATTTTGAAACAAACCCTTTATTTAGTCCACAGAGCTAGGTTGTTCAAATTCCACATGCCATGCCTTTTTTGGATATCTGTTTCAATTAATTCCCTTTAGTGATTCAACTCTCCAAGTTTTTGTTCTCTCTGCTGTGGCCAGGCACTGAACTCTCAATTCTTTGGCTCAAGTCATTTTTTGGATTACTCAACCCATACTTTTATCCACTGGGCCATGTGAGTTGAGATGGACAAATCTTACCTCTTTAATAAATATTGGCCTAGTTGATTTTTTTTTTTTTTGTTAAAAAAAATATGTAGAATGCTAAAATAATTTCTGCTTGTTCATATAACTCAATAAAGCAAATTCCTGACATTTTAGACTTTTGCTATTTATATGAAATACCAAGGATGTGTGGGTAAAATAATGGATATTGATTCCAAAGGTGGAATTTGTAAAAAGAGTTCAAATTTGAGGGGCTATTCTGTTGCATTCACTTTTGTCCTAATATCCTTAGAAAAGTGCCATGGATCTTTCTTCTCTCCACCCAGATGTAGGTTAAATAGTAGGGTAGACTGATATCATGAACCCTTTAATAGAAGGAAAATTCTGAATGCCAAACCATACAGAAGACTGAGAAACTATGACACTTTCTCAAGAATCCATGGCAATTTACTGATAATGAAGAAAAAGAATCTGGCATGTTATGATCACCAATGTTCCTTCAGGATATGGCATTAGAAAAATGCTGCTATTATCTCTCTTTAAATAAGAAAAAAAAGTGTCTTATACCAGCATTCTTGTTTCAATACAGTGCTATTCTCAATAAAATCTATGGGAAATGGATTGTAACTTACCTTAAAATATTCTTTATTTGAAAACTATACTAGCATTTGTTTTGTGTGTACAAGGTCTATACTGAGTATTTATTACAAAACTTGTTACTTTTAACTGTTAACTTAAATGAAGAGAGCATTCAGCCTTTTCCTTATACATTGATTTCTCTATTTAGTATTAGAGTGATTAGTATTTAGACAAAAAGGTAAGTTGTAATAGAATTTCTTTAAACTCTGTAAAATTATAAACAACATTTTCTGCAAAACATCTATTTTTTTAAAAAGTTCTTTTTGTTGTTATACTAATTCCACTTGAATTTCCTACTCGGGCCATAGTTCCATAAAGCTGACCATGAGAAAAACATTTGAATAATTTTATATTGTTTATTATTATCATTATATAATCACTAAACTTATTTTTTCACTTGTTTAAATAATTTGATACAGTTTTAAGAAAATCTAATTAAACATTATTTTGACTTAATTAAATAATTCTCAATCAACTAATTTGTAGTAATATGAAATGTCAGACAACAACAATGGTTATTGTGAATTCTTCAGTAAATAAAATTGTAACTAATGTTGCTGGACCTAAAATTATGGAATTCTATAAAAAATTTTATATTTTTTTTTAATTATTTATTTTGTCTGCTTCTTAAAAAAATAGTATTTTTAAAGCCAAGATTATATTTATTTATATTTAAAATTAAAATTTTATTTCGTATTTAAAATGAAAATTTTGTTTTATATTTAAATTTATTTCATGTAAACCTTGTGTTATTTTTTCTGCTAACTTATGACTGAATTTGGATAAGGCAGATATAAATTTCTATATAAACATGAATTTTAAAAAAATATCACAGAAACATATTTCATTTTTAAAAAATTTGAAACAAAAATAAATAGGACAGGTGTAATATTTATTAAAATATGCTTTTAAAAATAGTTCAGCAAATTAAATGTTATTACTTACATTGTAAATGCAATTTTTAATAATATATGAAAAGGCTGATAGCAAATTGTAATCTGGGCTGTTTGACTGATGTATGGTGAGGACACAATTTGGCTTTATATGAATTTATAAAAGATAATTGCCAATTTTATTAGCAATTTCTCTTTAACTTCATTTGTATTTTCCAGGATGATTTATATGTTATGTATATAAATATGACATCAGATAAAGATTACACAACATGGAAACATTTGGCCAAGGTAATCTTTCTCTTTCCCTTTCGTCATGTTTACATTTCATTATTTTTTCCAAACTATTACTTGTAGTTATTTAAATATCTTGTAGACTGGTTTTTGTCAAAACAATTCTGCTTCATAAATGTGTAAATTATATTTTATATTATTTAATAATAGAAATAAAATAAACAGAATTTAAAAATTAAAATGGATGTAATACTAATGCCAAAATACACAACATCTACACAACCAGTAGCAAATACAACGTAGTCTTTAAAACCGAAACAGAACTCCAAATGATTCTACTCTAAGCTTTCTGATAGTGAAACATCAAATTTATATAGGTTTCCTATTTCTTGTTTATTCAATCATTCTATAATATATAAGCATTTTCAATTTTTATAGTTTTTTTTCCAAAACTTTTCAATATGATTGTTTAGATTAAATAATCAGCTTTACTCTTCACTTAAAATGATAAAAATCTTTTACAGTGTTTTCATCTTTGGGACCTGGATGTTAGAGGATTTCATAAGGTATGTGCATTTTTATTTATAACTGATAGACAAATTACTATTCTGCTATTGCTGTACATCCCTGTGTGTGTCTTATTTTATTATCATCATCATTATAATTATCATTACTATTATTATTACCATTATTATATTATGGCTTGACTTAGATTTATGAGTTTTTTGTTTTTTTTAATATATGCATGATGCAAGCTTTTCCAAAACCTTCCTGATACTTTGTGTATGTTTATTTATATATATATATATATATATATATATATATATATATATATATATAAGCTTAAAAGACACCCTATCAGTTGACAATTAAGCTAACTCCTGCAGAGGGCTCTTGATTGGGCTTTGTTCCGGAGTTTGAGAGTCCCTAAGTCTTTGCATATTCTCAGCATTGGAAGCTCTCCTGGCTGCCGTTTGATCTGGGTTTTCATTTGCATGGGACTTTCTTTTCCTTGCTGCAGCCTTGACTCTTTTGATTGTCATCTGGTCCTCTGTTGGTGGAGACTTTGTGAGGCATACTTCTGCCATATGTGATAGGCAACAATAAACTACAGAACTCAAAATTGATCAATGCACTTTAGTATTGCATTAATCCCTAAGCTTATCTTTTAAAAGTTCAATGATAATTCTTCTGCCAACACTTAATTTCAAGACAATTTGATGTATGTAGGTCCTTACTTTCATACAAATAATTTTTTTATTTCATGGGTTCTGCAATTAATTTTGATTAATTCCAAATTTACTTCCAAGTTATAAAAATTATCATACAAACAATTTATCACAAAAAAATCATGTAAAAAAATCACCAGAAACAATTGCAGTAATGAAAACTTGGGAATCCAGAATTTCAGAATTGTGGGTCTGGATCCAGCCCAGAATATTTTTAATTTGCTTGTGGAGTCAGCCTGATTCCAAAATGGTATATGTTAGGCTACGGCCTCTAGGAGTAAAGCTGAAAAAGTGTGACACACTGACATGAGAGAGAGAAAGAGAGACACGCACACACACACACACACACACTCTATAACTTCATAAGATACATTAACTGCTATTTTCCCTTCACTTTCACATTAAAGAACGGTAATTCTCAAACAACATCTCTAAAATAACCTTAAAGATCTTGTCAGAAAATTGTCAAAAGCATTAATTCCTTAAATTGCTAATCAAAGCAAGTTATGCTAAGGCTACATTCATGGAGTACCTACCTAACAGTCTATGGCTTTTGAGTTTACTCTACAAACTAGATGACAGTAAGAGGTAACATGAAAATTTAGTAGTTAAGAACTTTTAAATTCAGCATTTCAATTTTCAAAAACAAAATAAGAATTTGTACAAAAGTTGCCATGTCCAATGTTTGAAATTGGAAAGGGACTTAGAAAAGTGAGGAAACTGTAAATTGAAATTCTTTGAGTTACAAAGTGAGAAATACTTGAAAACCCAAAGTCTGCAATATTATCAGTACTAATATGGCATCTTTGCTTCAATAACATTCCCACCACCATAATGTGACTTCTCTGTGCCTTTTCTAGAAATATTTTTATAGCAATTATTCTGATGAGCTTACCTCACTGGTGTCTTGACTTCATGAATTTAAGTGTAGTACTAGATTGGCAGCTAGGTCTCATCATTTTACTGTTGAAATTGCTAAATGTAACCATAAATTCTGTTCTAATATTTTCTTCTGTCACACATTCTGCTTTCTAGTTTCTTGCTTTTCTGGCAACTACAAAAATTTAAATGCAACAATTATTGTCATCTTTTCTCCCTTTGAATCTTTTCCTTTTATTGTCCTTTCTCTTCAGTTACATTTTCTCAGTTTCCTTTACTCTATTATCTTTCATCCTCAGTAATCTCCTGCACCTTAGTGGCTTTATTGCCTTGCTTGGAGTGAAATGATAAAAAAAAATGTGACTGGGTTTGTTCTATTCTTCCTCCCTCCTATGTAGATGAACTGATCAATTTTGTTCACAAATACTATTTCCAATAACTTGCTGGCTTAGAAAAGCTGCAGAATGAACTCCAAAGCTCTTTTATAAACAGTAGCTTCAATGAATATATCTGAAAAAAATCTTGTCAAAATCTTAGATTAACTTGACTATGCATTTTTTTGTAAAAATTTATTTTGAGCTACTTTAAAATAGTTATTTAATGATAGTTTTTACTTACCTTAGTCTGGCACAAGGACATGTGCAGAGCAAACTGAGGATCTAACTTGCCAAAATAGTTTTAGATTTTTGTAAAAAAAGCTTTTTTCTTTCTTGTCTATAAACTACATTTGCTTATTTTAAAAATTGTTTTATCAGTTCTTTGATTATTTCTGTAATTATTTATTACAGAGCATGTGGCGTCTGTTCCTGAAAACCAATCATATTCTCATTATAGGAACTCCCGCCTCACCTTACTCGTAAGTAAACATTGTTACTTCATGTTTTGTCTTAGATTTGTTCTTGTTCATATTGCATATATAATGTCTATGGTAGTTTCATTGTCTATAAAATGTGTCTCAAATAGTCTCTGACAACTAAGTCCAGCTCTAAACTGGAAAAGGGATGAAAATAAACTACTAGTGCCATATAATCAACTGCTTTGGTTAGATGGAGCTTGTCAATCCTGAAGGCAGCCCATCTAGGGGAAAGAAAACCATAATTTTGAACCTCCACTGCCTTCAGTATCTGTCTATATTTCTGAGATGAGGTATTATGTACACTATTTACATTATTCGGACTATTTTCCTCATCTTTGTTGCTATATTTATTACAATGTTTCACCCATTGTATGCTCCGGCCTTCATCAAGTGGTTAGAATGTTGAACTGAACCCTTTATTTTGATCACTGGGGTAGACTGTTCTTGTTCCACGTGCTATGTTTAATGGATGTCAGTTATCAGTTATGTCCCTTTAAAATGCCTTTATCCTCAAGGACATATGGCACAGTGGATAAAGGTGTTCGTTAGATCCAGTGACAGGAGCCAAAGAGTGTGAGTTCAATACCCGGTTAAGGCAGTGGAGAACTTGGAGAGAGGAATTAACAAGGAGATAACTGATGGCACATGGAACTAGAACAGTCTAACCCAGTGAGTGAAATAAAGGGTTTAGTTTGACATTCCAACCACCTGAAGATGGGCGGAGCATACAACGGCCGAAACGTAATAAATATGTCGACAAAAGATGAGGGCAATAGTCTAAATAATGAAAAATAGTCTCCACTGCTTTGTGGCCATATACAAACACAGAAAAGGCTATGAAAGTAGGTCTGGACAGAAAATTTGGAGTTGAGCCCTGAAAGCACTTGCCTGTCAAAACTGACAAATTTCTGGCCACTCTTACAGGCAAGCTGGCTCCAAATATAATGCCCTTTATTCATTTGAATCTCATTGGTATAGCTGGAGGAGCAGGGCATGCAGTTTGGGCAGAATAAGGCTGCTATATACCATTATCCTGGCCTGTGCCCTGAGATCATTCTAGTCTCACTACCAAAAGACTGAATTTGGGTCAAACAGAGCACTACCTTTATCTTGCAAGATAAACAGATGCCTACTATGGTAATCATGAATAATAATTTACAAGATGTCTAAAGAAACAAAGAGATACAAATTATGTGACTTTTGTTAATTGTTGGTTTCTAGAACTGTTTCATTACTTTGCTAAAGTTTATGATTCACTGACAATTCAGTGCAAAGACCAACAAAAAAAAAACTATCAAATTAAAATGATCCGAGACTCAAAAGTGAGTTTAATTTTTAAAAAATATAAACAAGATCTGCTTTCACATATTCTATAATAAAATCCCATCCCTAAAGTTAATCAGCATTTGTCAGTCTTTTTAGAAAGACAAACTCTAACCATCACTTCCTCTTCATATTTTTGTAATACTGCTGTTGGTAAATATCATGCCATGAAGGTTTTGATCTCATGAGAGGCCACCTTGTCCCTCCAACTCTCAGAGTCTTGGCAGAGCATTGAATTACCCCCCAGCATCAGGTTAATCTGCTGGAGATCCTGGCAGATGATGTCCTTACAGTGGCTGCATGATCTGCTGCAAAGTCATCCCCAGTTTGCAGATGTCGATGACTCTGGTAGGTTGGTCATCAGGCTATTGCAGAACACGACTGAGCTTTGCTAAGCAATGATGTAGACAATGATCATCTGGCCTTTTTATAAGGTGATAATTTCAGTGGTCAAATGCTAGTATTTATACTGTTGAGCTAGCACTAAGTGATAAACTGAAACTAATAGTACTTTTTAGTTTATTTTAGTGATATCAATTTCATTGAAAAATGTTAGTTGACAATCTTTTGGTTGCAATTGTTCTTGCTTTCAGGTTCTGGCATGATCCTGTCTGTTACATCAAAAAGTCACTGTGATAAAAGTTAAAAGGTTGATTTAGTAACTTGTTTTGCCCTTATTACTCTTAGTATGCCATTGAAGCTATAGAATAGAAAAAGTATTATAAGTCAAACACAAACAAAATATCAAACAAACAATATAAAAGAACCTTTTAAAAAAAACTAAACCAAACAATATCTTTAATTTCTTAAAAAATCAAACTTTGTACTAAAATATGAAACTAAAAGCTCCCAATAAAACTATAGAAAATTTTTTAATATATTTTGAAAACTAAGGAAAAAGAACCCTTCAGAATTCATAAATATCCCTACTAGAAGTAACAATGCAAACTTTAATAACCAACTTGTATCAGAAAATGAATATAAAATAATTTTTATTAGAAACCAACATATCTAATACTGAAAAAAAAAAAAAAAAAAAAATTTTCTTCAATTAACCTGTACGTAAAACTTATCACTGATCCTCATATGACATCAAGCTCTACCCAAAACAACCATGTTTCAAAACTTTTATCTGGGCTTAAATAACCCTATAGCGGTAGAAAGGTCATTAAGCAATAACACCCACTGCCTCCAAGAATTACTTGGATTATTGATTACCATTTTTCATCCCCAAATACTGTTTCAGTGACATAGAATGAAAATGATACCACAGCCTTTTTCCGCAAGGATTGTTAACCTGAGGAATACCAAAAAGTAGTTAAGATGTAAAATCTTTTGCATTAACAACGAAAAGATTGAAATCCATAGTTCAAGCAGAAATTACTGAATATAAATAATTTTTTATACTTGTATTTAATGGGACTCTTGTACTGTAGTGATGAAAAAATTGTAAAGATTTAATTACTTTTGTCTTGCAATCATTTCTTATCATATTAATTAAAACTTTTTTTCTTTCCAGGGAGTACAAACCTGCGAATGTCCTGCCTATTTATTTAAATGAGAGTATCATTGTGCACAAAGAGGGACAATGAAGCAACCAATCAGAACAGTTGGTGTAAAATTTATACTAAGGAATGTCAGAAACTCCTTTTAAGGAATTGAAAAATTTAAAACTGCTGGATATTAGGTGTTCTTTTTCTTACCTTTTTAAGAATAGCATAAATGACTTCTGACTCGGCATGTTCCAACTGTAAGATTGGGTCTCCAAGGAAAACAAAGAGCCTCTTTCATCTATTATTTTCACTGTTACGGTAACATGATTATATAATACTACTACTGACTTATTGTAGTTGCAATTATTATGGGTTTTGTTTTTCTTTTCTATCCACTGGTGTGTCGGGCTGGATAAAAAAAAAACTTTGCCTAAATCCTCTTGTGGAAGAGGAATTGAAAAGAAAAAAATTGTTACCAGTAGTAGTGAGTTTGCATTCTGGTGTTCAACATATCAGATTGAAAATAATGAAATAATTATTTTTATATGTCCTTCATCGCATTTTATTCCAAACTTCCTGCCCCACCCTACAAATTATTTTAAAATTTTATAAAAATATCCCCCCCACCACTGCATTCATATTGTTCTACAAACTTCAATATTTTATCATATGACATTTTTTGGTTAATGTTTAAAGTTTACCATATTACAGAAATGCCTTTTTATTATTTTGGGAGGGGGGGGAAGCAAATAACAGAAAAGCAGATAAACTTAAAATTAGGGTGAATGTTGAAGGCCATTTTTTATTTATTTATTTTTTTTTCTATTGGCACTGTGCCAATTGGTGTTTGTTAGAAAATAGTATTATGTGACTGGTAAAAACAAGACTGCTCATATGCGAACGTTTGAAAAAGTTTAATGTTAGCTGCTGAGTAAGGTTTTGTTCTGTGATTGATATATTTTCTTCTCTCACTCAATTCTACAAAGTTGAAATATCAATGGAGGATTTAAAAGGGCTTTTCATATTATGGTAGATTTGAACATTGTTTTTGTACAGAAACAATCATTCCATGGTTGGGAAGGTAGTTGTTTTGCCTGTTTTTTTCCTTCCTTCATCTCTTTCCTCCTTCTCTTCTTCTTCTCTTTTCCTTCTCTTCTTCTCTTTTCCTCCTCCTCCTCCTCTCTTTTCCTCCTCCTCCTCTTCTCTTTTCCTCCTCCTCCTCTTCTCTTTTCCTCCTCCTCCTCTTCTCTTTTCCTCCTCCTCCTCCTCTTTTCCTCCTCCTCCTCTTCTCTTTTCCTCCTCCTCCTCTTCTCTTTTCCTCCTCCTCCTCTTCTCTTTTCCTCCTCCTCCTCTTCTCTTTTCCTCCTCCTCCTCTTCTCTTTTCCTCCTCCTCCTCTTCTCTTTTCCTCCTCCTCCTCCTCTTCTCTTTTCCTCCTCCTCCTCCTTTCTCTTTTCCTCCTCCTCCTCCTCTTCTCTTTTCCTCCTCCTCCTCCTCTTCTTTTCTTCCTCCTCCTCTTCTCTTTTCTTCCTCCTCCTCCTCCTCTTCTCTTTTCTTCCTCCTCCTCATCCTCTTCTCTTTTCTTCCTCCTCCTCCTCTTCTCTTTTCCTCCTCTTCTCTTTTCCTCCTCCACCTCCTCTCCTCCACCTCTTCTCTTTTCCTCCTCCTCCTCTTTCTCTCTTAATTATATTTTAGCAATGTGTCTTGTCTATCTCCTTTTCTCTATTTTTTCATTCAGTTACTAATACTTTGGCTTTTACTTCACTTTTGCTTTGACTTAGTGTTTATCTAAAAATGTGGCAAAATCTTAAACAATAGAGAATCAAAACAATAATTAAAAAGTTCAATATTTAATCTAAACATTGGACATCTGTACTTGCTACATTATTACTGCTGAAAAGTAAAAATATTTTAAATTTTAATCATTTAAATAAATTATCTCAGTGGGTTTGGTGCACAGTGATTCCAAGACTTTCATTAGTATTGACTCTTCACTGAGAAGAAGTCTATTTTATCATCTATTGGGCCCTATATTCTTGAGAAATTTTTATAACACACGTCCAATATTAAAACAGCAGTCTATTTGACATTTTACAAAAATAAATTTATTTTTTTATTTTATTCTTTTTTTCTACAGAATTGTTAAGGATTCAAATTATATCTTTTTTTTCTACCTCATTAAAAAAAAAAAAGACTGAGGCCCTAAAAAATTCTCTAGGTACAATAGTTCATTTTCTGGAAATTTAAAACTGATCATTGTAATCATTAAGACTTAAACTATTTTCCATTATGAGATCTGAAACCTTTTCTAAAAATAGAATTGTTACTAAAAGGTTACACTAGTTACCTAATCAGGGATTGTTTGCTATGGAAAATATCCACTAATGATATTACTTACCATTGCAGCATGACTTTGTATATTGGTGAGTAACTTAAATATAATTTACATAACTCAACATGGAAAAGTCGAGTTTATATCCCTTATGTAGAGTATCCCAAAAGTCACCAAAGGATTTATAAATTAATCAAAATGAACAAAAAAATGTTATTTATTTTTATACTAAAAAGAAATTTTACAAAGTGGACATAAAATTCTTTTCTGAAAAATGCTGCTGCTTAGATGTCCTTCATTTTGTGTTGACAAATTCTTTGGACAGCATTTTCCATAACAGTGAAAACTTTGACTGCAGCCCTTGAATTTCTGATATGTTTTTTTTAAGTTATTTAATTTTGTTAGGATGCAGATGCAAATTGTTTTTTGTGCAAAACAGTGGCATCTGAGATATCCCCCAACTGGTCACAATGTCTGCAAATATTCCTGGCTCCTGAACGCTATCCAGTAGATGATCATGATTAATCTGTAATCAGACTGACTGTTCTCTTCCAGGTCATAACAAGTCGTTTCCATAGTGTTGAAAATGTTGATTTTTTTTTTTAAACTGATGAATCATGAAAATTGTTTTCTAGTGTTGAAAATGTAAGCAGGATGTTTTTTTAAGTGAGAGTACTTGATAAAATTTAGAATAAAATTCTAGAAACTTTTGGTTTTTTGCTCAGTTGTGAAATTTTCCATGGCCAATTTCCAAATATTGATCTAAATTGGGAGGGGGGGTGCCTTAAAAAAAATTTTTTTTTAAATCCCAAGGTGACTTTTTGGAAGATCCTGTATATTCACATGAAGAATCTAATACATTTGGATTACTTATGACTTCCAAACATTTGAAAATAATTCTGTTGTAGGAATTCACACTCTACACGCAACCAATAATGATACCTTCAAACCAGAAAGTGAAAGCATTAAAAACAACTTGTACAGTGTTCATATTTTTTTTCCTTCTATCATTTGTGGGTGATGAGATCGTCCATAAGATGTTAATATAACCATGGGAATCTTAAATGGGTTGAGATTGTGGAAAGATGTTTGATGCAACTTTGCTTGCAATTTAAAGAAAAAAGAATTTGCATACAAAAAATTCTAATCCATTCCATTCTAGTAATGAATGTCATGAGCCATTTTGAGAATGTTCTCTTTAACAAAGATGGAATCTGTTCTACACATTGTCAATTTGTCAAGTCTGATATTTTAGAAATTAAAAGCATATTTAATGCTTTTGGTGAAAATATTAACGCTTTAAATTTGATCAACTCTGGTTTTCTTTCCAAACTGAATACCTGGCACTTTGAAAAGTCATTAGTTAAGTAACCTTTTTATTTTATTTTTTTATTATGCTAAATAAAAATTGGTTTAGTTTTAAGCCTGTATGTAGACATAAATCCTTTCTTGTTTCTCATAACCACAGGGATTACTCTTTGTGTACTTGTAAAATTCATTAATTATATATAATTTTATTTATTTTTTTAATCAATTCCCAACAAACAAGGAGATAATACCATTAAGACGCAAGGGGCTACTGAGTGTGTAAGAGAATGAAATGATTTTAGAAGAAACAGAAAACAAGGGACAAACCTCTACTCCTGTTCAAAAGACTGATATGAATTGTTAAAATTAATTAACAGCAAATTAAACAAAAAATATGGTTTCTGTTTTGATTAGAGAATATTTTGTCCATTATCAGCTGTTAATATATTTTATATCTTGTCTGTGTTTCCATTTGGTGATACTACCTTAAAACATTTGGGGGTCAAATGCATTTAAAAATACTGTATATTGTACAAAAGTTCTTGCATTTCTTACCAAGTAATCATATTACCATTGTAACTTATGTTGATTAATTGCAATTTATTCAAATGTAGTAAATAAACTGAAATACTAGTTATATTCAAAATACATTCATTAAGAATCAATTAAGCTAATAAAACAAATACTACCTCTGTTTCCCAATTATTATGAAGCAGATAATATTAAAATTTAAACTGCTCATTAGCCATATCACATTGAAATGCCAGTTCCCATAGAATCACCAGAAATGAAGCAACATTGAGCCTAGTCAGTACCTGGATGTGTGGACCACTTGGGAATAGCAGATGTTGTAAACTTGGATGTGTGGGTGGTGTAATTGATAATGGCTTGGAATTGTTAATCAGCGAGCCAAGTTCCAGTTGGGATCACTATATTCACTTGCATGTAAATATCCTTGGGAAAGGTGTGAATCCACCTCTTCTCCTCCACCTATGGGTTCATTAGTAAGACATCATTAAATCATTATTATCACAAAATAAATTTTTATGTTCTAAAGATATTTTCTGGCTTTAAATAACCTGCAATGGGTTGATAAACTGTAAAAAATAAATTGATCAAACAATTGCTCTTTATTTTTTTTATTTTTCTTTCTGATATTCATTGATTTTGATTTCACAAGTCATTGACAAATCAATAAAGCTTCTTTAGTCTACATTAAATAAAAGATCAGTTGAAAGAATGGGTTTTAGGGGCTTATATGAAAATATTGTACCAATCTTTCAGTGGACATTCAGATCAATGCCCAGTGGCAACAGTCTGTTTCATGCTTAAACACAATCTTCAAGCCATGTTTCAGGCCTGAAGATTGTGTTTAAGCATGAAACAGACTGTCACCATTGGGTATTGACTTCAATGTCCATTTTTATATTTACCTACGCTCTATCTCTGAGAGCCATTAACCCATAAATACAGCTTAGCTTAAAACTATATTTTTATTATATATATGAGGGGAAAAATGTATGACGAAGTAGAAAAAGTTTTTATGTGATGTGTTTTATCCTTTAGGACTTGACTGGCCTAATTGGTTATATTGATGCAACTACACATGCACATGAACAAGGAATGTTGTGAATTTTAAATTAAAAATAAAAAAAAATTATTTTTTATTTTTTTTTAATCTAGCCAAGTTCATTTAGATTCTTTTTCTTTTTTTAGATGACTGATGAGCTGGTTTATTATATCTCCATGCCTCTTGTTGTAACTGAAAGACTTAATAAATATTTGTAGGCTTATTTGGGTGGGTCATTCTGATCAAATTGGCGAGATATTAAATGAAAACCCTTTAAGACAAATGTTCTGGCATGGTGTCATTCTTAAGTAATATCAAAAGTTCATCTCAAATATTCTAAGATTTTTTAGAGGTAAAATATAATCTTTTAGAATTGTTTTCTCGGTGTTAAACTCCCTCCTTGCTGTTAAAAAATAAATAAAAAAATTAAAATAAATAATAATTTTGAATAGATGAAACTTTTTTTCCTCAATCTATATTGAAAGGCAAAAAGAAAGTTCTTGAATTTCCAAAATTTTCTTCTCACTCTACTAATCTCGTGTCTATATTAGGTAAACCAATTATATCCTATAATATTCTGTAATATTTGAATTCTTAATTTAAAAGGCAATAATTTGGGATCTCTAACCAGTTTTGTAATTGGCTGGCATTGAAATCTTAAATGTGATCTTGCATAATTTTTCTTTTTATCCTCTACATGTAAATTTTCTGAGAATTGTGATTAGATAACATCAAATAATTGAAACTATTAAAAAAAAAAAAAAAATGGTGGAAAATCTAAGGGAGGCAACTGTGGTTTATTCAGCATGTTTGTAGAAATGTATGTACATATTCAATTCTTAGGTTCTACACTTATTTTATTCTATTTTTTCATGATTTATCTGTTCAGTGAATCTTATTTTCTTATCTACTTATTGTAAATCTTTTTATCAAAAATTGAGATTAAATGCAGACCAACTACTAGGTGGTCTTGAGGCATCTCTTTATATTATCTCCCCTTTCATTCTTTAATAGCCGAATGAACAACACCTGTAAAATAAACAATTCAAAACAAAATTCCAATCAATTTTGTTCGGACTTTATCTAAATTGAATTAGTTGATATTACATTAGTCTTAAATACTTACCTATTTGCCTTTTACTAGATTGCATTAGCTATTGGGAGGGGGTCATTAAGTTTTTTGGCACCATGTTTATGAAAAATGAAGCGTAATTCTCTATCCTAAGATTTGAACTTGCTTGAATAAGACTATAAGTACAAGACATAATTATACCTGAAAACTTTGGTACAATAAGCAGCCATAATGTTTAATCAGTATTGATTATTATTATTTACTATTAATTACAATATTTTTTTTTTTTTTTGGCTCTTTTTATTAAATAACAGAAGAAATATGCTAATGATTAATCTTTAATTTTAACCACTTAAGTAAAATCCAACATATGCTAATGATTAATCTTTAATTTTAACCACTTAAGTAAAATCCAACAAAATCATCAGTTACTGACCTTTCAGATTATCTTCTGAATAATTCT